GCGTGTGTGTGTGTGTGTGTGTGTGTGTGTGTGTGTGTGTGTGTGTGTGTGTGCCTGCCTGCCTGTGGGTGGTCGGTCGTCGGCGGTTTGGCGCGCAATCGTGTGGCACCTTTGAGTGATGGGGGACAGGCCGGGCGGGAAGAGACCTGGGGAGTGGCAGATGCAGGTTTGGGCGATGATCAGGTCGTTTTGGGGATGAAAAATGGGTACGAGTGTGCTTGCGCTAGCGTGTTCATGTCGATCTGTTTGTGTGCGAGCGTGTGTGTGAGGAGTACGCGAGGAGGCTGCCAGGCTGAAGCCCAAGTCCTCAATCTTGGCTTGCTTCATACCGATAAGCTTGCCCCTGAACATGTCTGCGACATTGGACATCCGACCTCGAGCTCGACTTTGGCCGAAAGCACATGTAAGCTTTTGCCGTTGTCTCTATCTCTGTATTGTTTGGTCTTCATCAGGCTCGTGAACGTTCCGTGGCTTTGCTGGGAAATTGTGAAGTGACGGCGAGTGGCGGAAGAAGATTTGGCGCGCGCGCGCGCACTGGCAGCAACGACCTGACAACGACGACGACGACGGCGACAGTCAGCAGAAGCAAGAACAGAAGCAGGAGTAGCAAGGGAGGACACTCCACTTTGACGACTACACGTCCTTCTCTTAGCCATGTCCGACTCGGACTCGCTTGTGGCGTCACCTCTGAAGCCAGAGTCGGTATGTAGAGGGTTTGGGGGGGGGGGGGGGGAGGATGGGGCGGGAGGGGCGGCGTCAAGGGGACTTATGGAGAGGATGGATGCAGCCGGAAGGGAGCACGCGGCTGGAGCTGATCAATGAGATTGAGACGTTGGAGGCGGCAAAGTCGTTCAGGGTCTCTCGTGCTGGTGCGGCGGCGGGTGGAGCTGCAGCAGGCGCTGCGGTCGGTGCGGGAGCAAGGGCCGGGACTCGGCTTGGCTTTGACTCGAGTGATGATGATGAGGACACCGGTGGCCGGCTTGGGTTTGAGTCGCTTGCGGCTTATCGTCGCGAGAGCGAGCGGAACCAGATGACCTCATCGGGATTGCTGGCCAGGGTCAAGGCCCACATGCTCCCACCGCACTTGCCGCCAGACATGGTCGGGCCATCGGACTCGATGATGGGCGGCGAGGATGGCGATGGCTCGAGCTTGTTTGAAGCTCATCTGCGGTCAATCTCGCAAAATGAGCCCATGACCATGTCCGAGGTCGAGTCGAGAGCTCGGTTTTCGCCGGCTACTAACGTACCTGTCGTCAAGGTCCACAGTGCGTCGTCTCGGCTGATGTTTGGCGATGAAGACAAGGATGGCCATGCTTCGAACGGTAGTGAGGCGAGCGACGAGGCGAGCGAGATTGCCCGGCTTGTCGAGGATGCGCTCCAGGCCGACGTCGAGGTTGATGGCCATGGTGACGGCCATGACGACGAAAGTGACGGCGACGACGGCTCAGTGACCTCTGACTGGGAGGACCGGTCGCTAGGCGCGAACCACCCAGACGCGCCGAGCTCGCTGCGCAAGGCCGCATCACGCAACACCGCGTCGCATTTGCTGTCGATGGCGTACTCTCGGCCGCATCCAGACGAACTTTCCCCCCACCGCCGCCGTCACCGCCGCGGATGCGGCCGTCGCCTGTGCCCAGCCCGGTGGCACCATTGCGGCGGGTGAGGCAGGCGACAGGCGCGGCAGTCCGCACGGCGCCGCCGACGCTTGTCGACGCTGGACTCACCAACGAGAGCGTTCGAAGCGCCGTCGAGGAGAGCTTTGGGCCCGAGGCACTGGCGGTGCTCTCGTCGCTCTCACTCGCCGGTAATGCGATGACAACGATGCCTGAGCCGCTGCCCGTGCTCGGCGCGGTGCGGACGCTGGACATCTCACGTAACCCGCTCGTCGCGCTTGGCACGGGCTGGGACTCTGTCTTGCCGACGCTCCAGTCTCTCAACCTCGCCGGAACTGGGGTGGCGAGTCTCGAGCCGCTGAGCCAGTGCCCGCTGCTCACCGCGCTGGACGCGTCGAGCAACTCCCTGACAAGCGCTGCTGTCCTGGCTCAGCTGCCACGGCTGCGGACGTGTAACCTGGCCGACAACGCGCTCGCCCGGCTCGAGCCGGGCGCCACGCTTGGCACGCTTGTCGAGCTCGACGTCTCAGGCAATGCACTCACATCGCTGGAGGCGCTCTTCCGCGCCGCGCCGGCGCTCCGGGTCCTCTGCGCCAGCGGCAACCACGTGGCGTCACTGACAGGGCTCGAGGCGGCCCCGTCGCTCGCACATCTCGACGTCTCGGCCAACCACCTGACGTCACTGGCAAGCGGTGGCTCGCTCTCGCTGGCTGTGCTCAACGCAGCCGACAACCGCATCGGCTCTCTGGAGGAGCTGCGGCAGCTCCCGGCGCTGGCGCAGCTTGTGGTTGCGCGCAACGCGCTCAAGGGCGCGCCACTCGCGTTTATGGACAGCACGCTTGTCGGAACGTTTGAGCGAAGTGAGCCGCTGGTCAAGCTTGTGGCGCTGGCGCTCGACGGCAACTCTGTGGCGTCGCTGCAAGGTATCGCATCGGGCGCACCGCATCTAGCGCATCTCTCCGCAGCCGACAACGCGTTGGCTTCGCTCGACGAGATCCTCGACGAGATAAGCAAGCTAGCACAGCTGGCGCGGATTGATCTGCGGTACAATCCGGCGACCGAGGCGTTCTACACCCGCCCGGATGGCGAGTCGACGACTGGCGTGCCGTTTGAGTCGCTTGAAGCGTACGACAAGGCGGCTGGAGTGTCGATGGGCGACGCAGCGTACATGGGACGGCTCTACTACCGCTCGTATGTCATCCACACCCACCATTCACTGGCTGTCCTCGACGGCATTGCGATCACGCCAGTCGAGATGCGCCTGGCGGTGTCACTTGAGGACAAGTTCTCGGTCTTGTTTTCTGTGCGAAAGGCAGGCCAAGAAGCAACGGCGCGGACTCTAGACGTGGTTCGTGCGGAAGAGCGCGAGGCCGAGTTGGGAGCCTTGGCAAGTGACAGCGAGCCGGCCGAGCGGACGGGCGCCGAGCAAGCGCCACGACCTGTGTTCGAGGCAGATCCAGCGTACACGGCGCCGGCGCGGGTGCTGACGTCACCACCTTCGCCGCCGCTGTCGCCTGCAGGGACAAATGTCGGGATGTGTGTTCGCGCTGAGCTGGGCCGGCCGCGGGCGGTTGCCGAGTTTGGCGAGTCGAGGGCGGAGCGCGACTACCGGGCGCAGTACGAAGCGCACCTGATGAAGCTGCAGACGCAGCTAGACAAGCTCGACGAGCACCCGGGCGGCGGGAGCGAGGGCCTGCCGAGCCAGGTCTCCATGTTCCGGACCAAGATGGAGTTCCTGCGGCAGCAGCGCGAGACAAACGAGCGGATGGCGACCGAGTCAATGGCGTCGGCCGAGGCTGGGAACAAGATGGTGGCGGCGGCGGCCCGCGGCGAGCTGGCCCGCGGCGGCGGTCACGACGACGGCGGCAGCGACGGCGAGTCTGAGTCTGATCCCGATGCTTCGGTCTCGATCCGCGAATACGTGGCGGTACCTGGCAAGGCACCCGCAGCGCGCGAGCGGAGCTTTGTCAGCGTGCTGGAGCGGTCTTCGCTGCTGCCAGAGCCGGTGGTCGGCTCGCCGTCGCCTCCGCGGATGCGTGGTGTCGAACCGCCGGCGAGCCTCCCGGTGGGCGAGCCACGGATCGGGCTCGAGCCGTACCTGCACTCGGCGATGTCGGCAAAGCGGGCGCAACTGCATGAGCTGTACAAAGAGATGCTCAGCCGCGAGCGGGAGTTTGTGGCCGAGGTCAGTGAGCCGTCGCTCTCGCGGCGGATGATGTACGACATGGTGTACCACGGGATGAGCCCGTCGTCGGCAGAAGCGGCGTACTCGCGAGACCGGTCGTTCCGGGCGCTCGAGTCGATCAAGTCGCTGCACGCAGCGTTTGACCCGCCGGTTGACCCAAGCGTGGAAAATGCGTCGCGGATGCGGGCGCACGCCGTGTCGCCGGCGCAGCGGCTGCCGGCATCCGCGCGACTGGCACATCTGGCCTCGCTCAAGTCGCCGTCGCTCACGCTTGCGGCGCTGGAATTTATCCGCGGCGAGCCATGCGGGGCGTCGCAGGAGACGAGCGCAATGGAGCTCCCGATGATTCCGCTCGACCGTCCATCGCGTGACGAGTCTATGACTGATGACGTGAGTCGGCGGGACGCATCAAGTGACCTCACCCTCCGGATTCTAGAGCAGCTTGGGCGGGTGAGTCGCGCGAGGCAGGCAGCCGATGGCAAGACGAGCCAGAGCAGCGACGGCGGTGGCGACAACGGCGACGTTGGCGATGATGGCGACGCCGCTAATGACGGTGTCGACATGGAGACCTCGCTTCGCGACCAGGTTCAAGCGCAGGTGACTGCGACCATGCAGGAGCTCGAGGCCGCACATGCCGAGGCCGAGGCCGCCGAGGCAGCAGTAGACGAGGCAGTCGAGCGTGGGATCTCGTTTTGGGTGCCGATCGAGCGGCCAGAAGGCGAAAGCGCGACCAGGGCTGAAGACGCAGGCTCGCTGGGAATCGAGCGGGAGGAGAGTGTGGCTGCCGAGGCGGATGTGACGGCCAAGTTTTTCGAGTCGTTCCCGGACCCGGACGCCGAGGTGCTGGCGGCGCGTGCGCCGTCGGCGCGGCTGCAGCGGCGGCATGCGGCGGTGCGGGCCAAGGCTGCAGCAACGCGTGAGGAGCGCGAGCGGCGGGCCGCAGCACGTCGGGCTGAGGCGATGCGGGCCAAGGCGCGGGCGAAGCAGGAGCGAAGGGAGCGACACGCGCGAGCTGAGGCACGGAGGCGGGCGGCCGAGGCCGAGGCGTTGGCGCGGCGGCAGCGGCACCGGCCCGCTAGCAGCAGCAAGCGCGTGCGAGTGCGTGTGCGGCGGCGCGACGGGTCGCGAGAGCTTTCTGCCTCGGTGAGCAAGGCAGCAGGAGTAGTGGAGGTCGAATCGTACTACGAAGACGACGATGGCGGCGACGAGGGCTGTGGCGAGTCTTACGAGTATGTCGAGGCGCCGCGCGGACGGTCGCCGGACTCACTTGCCAGCGGCGAGAGCGGCGGCGAGTGGACGTCACTGGCGGGCGATGTAGCAGCGGCGGCAGCAGCTGCGAGCGAGACCAAGCGCGACGCAAGCGGGTCGAGCGACTGGCGGGCGACGCTCCTCGTGGCGGCACGGGTGCCTGCAGCGTCAGGCTCTGTCTCGTCGTCGTCGTCGGCGGGCTCGACGATTCTGACCGATCTGCGAATGGACTCTGCCGAGGCACGGGCGATGCAGGGCGTTCTTGCGTCCGAGTCTCTGCGTGAGGTTTCCAACACGCGCGGAGCGAGCTACTCGCTGGTGCGGGTGATGAAGATCTTCAACGCGGAGCGGCTGGAGTGGTTCTCGTCGCTCGACGGATTTGCCAACGTCGACGGAGTCAACGTCAAGCTCGCGTTCCACGGGCGGAGCCATCGACGCTCACCACCCTCTGCTCGGCCGGGTTCGGGGCGTACGGCGACAGCAGCGAGCTTGTATTCTGCGACTCGCTGTCGCTGGCTACAGAGCTGTATCCCAAGGCACTCCCGACGAGCGGCGACGGGCGTGTGCGGTTCCGGTGGCGGGCACTGGTGTGCGTCGTCAAGCCTGGGACCAAGCATGTGTTCCCGACCGAGAGCCTGGCGTCGCTGCGGAGCGACGGCGGGCGGGCACAGGTGGAGCAGCTCCTCGCGGCCGGGTACTCGTCGTTCTCGCTCGCGCGCGAGATGCTGGAGCGGTCGCGCGAAGTGGTGCTCATCCCGTATCCGAACCGGGCACTGCCTGCGTACCTCATTGAGTACGAGGTGACAATGTAAAGGAGAGGAGGCTTGCTTAGCCCGAGGCGATAGCGCGGCGGGCGCGCGAGGTGGGCGGTTCGCGCGAAGCGAGGCTCACAACAACGACAATGACGACGACGACAGCGACAAAGACATAGAGGGCCCAGAGAGGGAAGCCCGCGCGGCGCGGGCGCGGAGCGGATCCTGGGAGCGGCAAGCCGGCGTCGCTGGTAAAGTACGCTTCGAGCTGCGAGGCGTAGGGGAGCCAGGCCGAGAGCGAGCGCCAGAGCGAGCGCTTGCGGTACTTGGCCGAGCCAGCGTCAGCATCGGCACGTGCGCCGTCGTGAGCGAGGCCTGGGGCGTCTTCACTGGCCAGCGCCTCGGTAAAGTCGAGAGCAGGCTTGCGAGCGGATGAGCCGAGGACACCAACAAAGCCGGATCGCGGGAGGACGGCAGGCGAGGCTCGAGCCGGCGAGGACGCCGAGGGCGAGGGGGAGGCGAGGCGATGGCCGGCGACGACTGGATCACTTGCAGCAGGGAGCGGAGACGAGGCAGGCGGAATGGAGTGGAGCGATGTAGTGGAGACGGAAGTGGCTTCAAGCGAGCCATGGGCGTTGACCAGAGGAGCGACACGAGCGTACCAAGGCTGAGTGGCCAGAGTTCCGCGGATGTTAGCAGCAGTCCGCGAGTTATCGTCGAGGTGAGGAACGACACACTCACCACAACCATCGACCGGACAAGCATAGCCATGAGGAGCCGTGGTATCAGGCAGAGAAGCCAACGAGTCTCTCAAACAATGAGGATGAACCATATGATAACAAAGAAGTCGCAGCGTCTCTCCCTTGGCCAACAACTGAGCACAGATGGGACATGTGGGAGGCCATTGGTAGTCAGAGTCATTGAGCCATTCGATGTAGAGTCCACACACACACTATAGTAGTTACTCTCGTAGCAGCGGAGGTAGTGATGGCGTAGTTGTGGTGTATGAGTATGGAAGGTGGGAGGGGTATGGCGAGGGGGAGGGGGGGGGTGCGTACGTTAGAGTGGGACGCTACGCAGTCGGAACAGACATGAGCATGGTGGACAAAGCAGAAGTACCGCGTGGCGTTCTTGCACTCGCACAGTGCCATGACAAAGTTGGGTGTGGTTGGCCGTCGGGCTGGTGGGGTGGGTGGGGTGGGTGGGAGGGGAGGGGGGTCTGAGGGGCTTCTTGTCGGCGAGTGCAGGCCACGTGGTAAAGCGGGTTGGGAGGTGGGCTGAGAATCGAGCTGAAGGAGAGGTGGCCGGTGTAAAGGGTGGGCGCTGCGATCGCGATCAGTAGCAGTCGATGTGCGACAAAGGTGTGACTTCAATCAGCGACGGAGTGAAGAAGAGGAGCGTGCGTAGGGTCCGGGGGAGGCCATGCTCCCCGAGACGGAGCCGTGGGAAGAGGCATGGGTGGAAGAGGTCCGCCGACGGCGAGCAGCCTGAACCCGGGACTTGAGTTGGTTGTACGACGCCTGTAGATCCTCTTTGACCATCTTGCACTGAAGGTACATGAGGTTGAGGTCTGTGTTGTGGGCCTTGGCCTTGCGCAGCTCGGCGGCGATCTCCTCGATGCGGGCGTCGGCCGCAGCCTCGGCCTCCTGGGCGCGATAATCGGCGTCGCGGCGGGCCTCGACCTCAGCGAGGTACTTTTCGGTCAGATCCTGCAGTGTCTTTGTCTGCAGCTTGTGCTTGACCTCATCCTTCAGCCGCATCCGCTTCTCGCCTTCCAGCTTGCCCTCCAGATGCTCGGTAGCCTTGCGGAGCACGTCCTGCAGGTGGCGGTACTTGCCATGCAGCTCGTCGTATGCCTTCTCCTTGGCAGCCAGCTCGGACTTGACCTTGTTGTGCTCGGCCAGAGAGACCTGCGACTCGGCCAGCGCATCTAGCTGTGTCCGCAACTCTCTATTCTCTTTCACCAGCGCCGCCATCGCCGGCGACATACCCGTCCCACTCTCTTGCTGCTCCAGATCGCCAGTCGAGAGCCGACCGTCCGAGTCCATCCTCGCCATCGATTGCTCCGTAGTTCCCTGGCCAGTACCGACACCATTATCGCCACTCCAACCACTCTCAATCGGAACCTCATGTCGTCCACCCATGCCCATGCCACTCAGTTCAAGTGACCTTGCGCTCTCAGACTGCCCACGAACTCCGTCACTCCCACCCGTAGTATCCAACAGACTGGCCGAAGTAGCCTCTGCCTTGTGAATCGACTTCTCCAGTAGCTTGTTCTGGCCATGACCTCTACACAGTGAGTCTCTCCATGTCGTGTGTCTCGTTGTAGGCAGTGGGGGAGGGAGGGTGGGTGGGTGGGTGGGTGGAGGGGGAGGGGGGAGAGGCGGCGGGCGAAGTGGTCACTCTGCCGTTGCCCTCCGCCCCGCCCTCCCCGGCTGCACTACGGGCATGGGCATGGGCATGGGCATGGGCATGGGCATGGGCATGGGCTTGGGCTTGGGCATGGGTATGTGAGGAGGTGCGGAGGACATACCTGCTTGAGGATGTCCTCAAGGGTCACAATGCCGTGGTCGGACAGCGACATGGCGGTGGCTGAGGGGGTGGAGTGGTCGGTGGTTGGTTGGAGGGAGTTGGGTTGGAGGGGGAGGGGGAGGGGGGAGGGGGTTAGGGCGGAGGGAGGGAGGGGGTATGGCGGGGATCGGGAGATCGGAGGATTGATTGGTAGATTTGGGCTGGACAATGGGTGGATAAGGGTACGTGAGGGTATATAGGTCAATATCCGTGCGTCTGTGTGTGTGTATGCGTGGCTGTGGCTGTGGCTGTGGTTAGCGAGAGAGTGGGCGGGTGTGAGGCGCTCAGTCCACCTGATGATGTGCTGGACATGGAGAAAGAGATGGGCGATGGCGATTGCAAGAAGGAACACCAACGTTCACACGCAACAACACAATAAAGGCCACAAGGATCTGAGTACATTGCGACTCTTTCCCCATCCATTCATCCTTCCCATCGCCCTCACTGCCTTCAGCAGGCGGCGATCCCAGCCACTGCCCAGCCGCGTCACCCACTCAGCTCCTCCCCTCCTTTACAGCCCCCCTCACACACCCCTCGCCATCCCCATCCCTGGTAGCCATGCTGCGCCGGGTATGGCAACTCACCCCTCATACCAACATGGTCTTGTCACGGGCGCTCAACTCTGCCACGCAGCTGCCACCGTCGCATCGACCTCACCTCGCCTGGCTGCTCAAGAAGGCGGCTCTGCGTCAGGACGTGTTTCTGGTCGGACCTCCCGGTCCTGAGCGACGATCTCTGGCCCTTGACTTTTGTGATGCCATTGATCGTGACTCACATGTCCTCCCCCTGACAAGAGATACTACTGAAGCTGATCTCAAGCAGCGTCGCGAGCTTGTCTCGGGCTCGGTTGTCTACGAAGACGCCCCGCCGGTCGTGGCCGCAAAGTCGGGCGGCGTTCTCATCCTCGATGGCATTGACAAGGCTGAGAGGAACATTCTTCCGCTGCTTAACAACTTGCTAGAGAATAGAGAGATGCGCCTCCCCGATGGCCGCTTTCTCATGCCGCCTCGTGCCTTTGATGCGCTTCTGCCGGATGCCACGCCGCAGCAACGCGAGCGCCTACTTGCGGACGATGGCATCGTCCGTGTCTCAGAGGACTTTATGGTCGTCGCCCTCGGCCTTCCTGTCCCAACCTTTCCGGGATATCCGCTCGATCCTCCTCTCCGGTCGCGGTTCCAGGCTAGGTTTGTTGCTCCGGCGCCGCAGAGCCTGCCCGAGTACGCCTCCTATATCGCCGGCGTCGGCGCAGCCTCGTCCTTTGGTACCTCGGACGCCCAGGCGCTGATGGTCTACGCAGCAGCGTTACGTTCGGCCCATGCCGCGGCCTCTTCTGAGCAGGGCGGCCTGCTCTACCTTCCGGAGCGCGCCGTTCGTAGCCTGCCCGCCCTCCTCGGCACTTTCCCGCGCCTCAGCCCGGGCGATGCTCTCGACCTTTTCTACCCAGCCGAGCTGCTGCCGGCCACCGCCCGCATAGACCTGACCGACATTGCTACAGCCGCCAACTGGCCGCCAGCAGCCGGGCAGCGCCGTGATCCCGGCTACGCGCTCGCTGCTGTCGAGCCGGGCGGCGATAGCCACACCGGAACACTTCGTTTCTCGGCAAGAACTGGGGCCGGACTCACTGCCACTGCCGCCATCGGCCCTGCGCCGCGCGATACCACCGGCGCCGCCGCTCTTGCACCCAACCAGGCGTCTGCGCTCGAGCGGGCGACCATGGCCCACGTCGCTGGTCACGACTTTGCCATCATCGGCGCCAAGGGTGTCGGTAAGACCTCGCTCGCCGCTGCCTTTGCTGCCCGCCTCGGCTTTCCGCTCACCACCATCCAGTGCTTCCGCGACATGTCGATGGCTGACCTGCTCGTTCGCCGCGGTACCGCGGCCAATGGTGACACTGTGTACGTCAACTCACCGCTGATGGCGGCGCTTCGCGACGGCGGCGCTGTCGCCCTCGACGGCGTGCACCGCCTTGAGCCCGAGCTCCTCGCTGCGCTCTCCTCGCTTTTCACCTCGCGGACCCTTGACCTGCCAAACGGCGAGCGGTACCTGGCGGCCGACGCGCATGGACAGCTCGCTGCCAAGCGTGGTGTCTCGCCTGCCGAGCTCGAAGAGAGTGGCATCCACGCCATCGCGCCGTCATTCCGCCTCCTCGCGCTCGGTGAGCCGTCAGCCGTCTCCAACCCGTGGCTTACCTCGGAGCTCCTGCCCAACTTTGCCTGGATTCCGGCGCCGACGTTGGACCTTGAGTTTCAGCTCTCGCTTGTCAGCCAGACTCGGAGCGAGGCGGCCGGCGGTCCCGAAGCGCTCAAGAAGCTCGCCTCTGTCATCGCCGCGCTGAGGTCGACCGGCGCCGAAAGTGCCGACGGCCACGCGCTTGAGCCGCTCTCGACCCGGCAGATCTTGCGGATCGCACGCCGGGTGGCGGCGTACCCCGACTCGCTACACGCCGCGCTCAACCGGGTCTGCATTACTGCCTTTATGCCAGTCCCGCTCCGCACTGCCTTTGCCAACCTCCTCGCCGAGCATGACATCCATCCGCCGGCTGCGGACCAGGAGCTCAGCATTGTCGCGTCGGACAACGTGCTCACCATCGGCGACGTAAGCCTTCCTAAGGCCAAGGCCGCAAATCCTCAGCTCGTCCCCAACATTGTGTTCTACGAGACCCAGTCCCATCTGACTGTCCTCCGTGAGATGGCCGCTGACTTTGCCGCCGGCGAGAAGCACTTGCTGCTCATTGGCAACCAGGGAACCGGCAAGAACAAGCTCGCCGATCGGATGCTGCAGCTTCTTGGCGCGGAGCGCGAGTACATCCAGCTCCACCGCGACACGACTGTCCCATCGCTCACGCTCTCGCCTACGCTCGTCGACGGGAGCGTGGTGTGGCAGGACTCTCCGCTTGTCCGCGCCGCCCGTGAGGGCCGCGTTCTCATGGTCGATGAGGCCGACAAGGCACCGCTCGAGGTGGTGTGCGTGCTCAAGGGCCTCGTCGAAGATGGCTCCATGCTGCTCGGCGACGGCCGAGTCATCACCTCGCTCCCGCCTAACGCGCTCTCCGCCTCGCAGCGCGAGCGCGGCTTCATCCCGCTCCATCCAGACTTTCGCATGATTGTCCTCGCCAACCGGCCAGGCTACCCGTTTCTTGGCAACGACTTTTTCGCCGAGTGTGGCGATGTTTTCTCACCGCATGTGGTGGACAACCCGGACGCGGCGTCTGAGATGGCGCTGCTCCGTGCGTACGCACCCGATGTCCCTGATCCGATTCTACGCGCACTCACGGCTGCCTTTGCCGAGCTCCGCAGTCTCACCGAGCAAGGCCTGCTCTCGTATCCGTACTCGGCACGCGAGCTGGTGGCCATTGTGCGTCATTTGCAGGAGTTTCCTGGCGACTCGCCGCTCTCAGTCCTGGGCAACGTCTTTGACTACGATGTGCACGACGCGCCGGTCCTCGAGGCGCTGGACGAGGTCCTTACTCGCCACGGCCTCCCGCTGCTCTCTGCACTCGACACCCCTCACGCGGGCGCCCGCCGGGCCGCATCTGAGCGGTCGGGCCATGCTGCCGATGTCGCTGGATCACTTCCTATCGACCTTGCCCGTCCTCTGCCGCTCAACCCAGTGCAGTTGAGCGGGGCAGGGAAGGCCAAGTGTGAGCTATTTGCACCTACAGGTGAGGCCGCGCGCGGTGATGCTGTCGAGGTACGTGCGCGCAACGTCGGCTTCATGTTCGCCGACTCGCGGCCACTCAGCGTCACGCCACCGATCTCGGCACGCACCCGACAGTTCTCTGAGCTTCTCCAGTCGTGGCCGCTGCCGCTCGCGGAAGTGTCACGGCGGCTGGTCTCGGGCGCGTGGCTGGATGATGCGGCCGGCTACGTGCTTGCCGGGGCGCGGTCGTCAGCACTGGTGACTGGCGAGCGCGCCGGAAGCAGCGCAGTCATGACCGCACTCGACTTTCTGCCGTCGTTTGTGCAGCCGATTGTGTGTGCGCCAGGTGGAGACTGGGTGGTCATCGATGCCGCGCGGGTCGGCCTTGTGTTTGCGGTCCCTGGCGCAAGCAACGGCGTTGCGCACCCCGAGACCGTCATTCAGCTCGAGCTTCCCGAGGCGCTGACCGGCAAGGCGCCTGGCGCAAACCCGATGCGGATGCTGATGGACCCGTCGCGGGCGTCGCTGGAGGCAGCGCCACCTCCGCACGCATTTGCACCCGGCGTGGCGACTTGCAGCGCGCTGCATGGCCTTTTGTGGGAGCGCAACGGGCGCAAGATAATGGGCGTCTCGTTTCGAGCTGCTGGCGGCGCAACTGCCACTAGTTATCCACATCTTCTCGCCGATGGCGCCGAGATGGTCAACGTCCAGCGTGTGACGGCGACTGACCAGGCCGGCGCTCGTGGCTCGTGGCTTGTCTCACTGTCGGACGGCAGCCATGCGGTTGTGAACTGCGACGCAAGCGGCGCGCTCTCGACCGGCCCGCGACTGGGAACGCGCGGCCAGCTGGCGGTACTGGGCTCTGGTGCTGTTGGCGCGATTGTGCGTGACGGAGTCGAGGGTGCGCTGGGCAAGATTCCCTGGGCCGCACCGGAGCACGCCGAGTGGGCCAGCCTCCCGAGTCTCGACTCTGGAACGCCCATCCTTACCTCGCACCACCCGGAAAGTGCCGTGCACCTCGCTAGCGAGGACGAGTCGCTGTGGGGCACTGTAGTGTACGGCTCGGACGCCGGGCTCACGCTTGCAGACCTCGATGCCAACATGATGAAGAGCATTGCTGTCGATGCGCCTGTTGTTGCGCTTGGCATCGGAAAGAGCGCTGACGATCGGCCAGCTTCACTGTTTGGTGTCTGCACCGACGGCGTCATCCGCGAGTGGCAGGCGTTGGACGAGGGCTCGTTGATGGAGGAGCTTGCTGGATGGCACGCTGTGCGCGAGGGTCTCGAGTCAGTGGAGGAGACGGTTCGCGGCGTGGCCGAAGCGCGGTACAAGTTGCCACCCGCTGATGGCGATGACGACGATGGTGCTCCAGCTGGAGCAGCCGAGAACGGTAGTGGCGGCGATTCTGGAGCCGGTGATGGATCGTTTGTGCCAGTAAGCTCGGCTGATGCCTTGGGAGGAGGCGGAGGCGGAGGCGATGGCGGCGGTGGAGGTGGCGGCGGAGGCGGCGGTGGAGGAGGTGGCGGCGGTGGAGGCGGCGGTGGCGGTGGCGGAGGAGGAGGTGGCGGCGGCGGCGCTGGTGCTGATCTCTCGTCGGACGGTTTTGGCGGCTACACTGTGGTTGATGGACAAGTTGTGCTTCCGGAAGAGGCGGCGGCGTCGTCCGAGCTGGATACGGGGACTCGGAGCGCGATCGAGGAGGCTGCGGTCCGGGTACTGGAGCAGACAAAGCGGGCCATGGCGCTGCGGAACGGGTCAGGCGGGGTCGGACAGCGCGATGAGTCGCCGGCGTATGACTCGCTGTGCGCCAAGATGGAGCGACAGATTCAGCAGCTCTCTGTCATCTTGCACAATGCTGAGGCCAAGGAGAAAGAGCGTGAGTGGCTCGGCAACCAGTCGCAAGGTGAGCTCGACGACCGGCGGCTTGTGGACGGAATGCTCGGCGAGAGTCACATATATCGACGTCGGGGCGAGCCGGAGGCGCGGGCCGGGGTGCGGCAGGCGCGGCCAAAGCGTGTGCGGTTTGTACTGGACGTGTCTGCGTCAATGGCGCGTTTCAATTCGTGGGATGGCCGGCTGGACCGGGTGGCGTGGTCGATGGTGATGGTAATGGAGGCGCTGCGCGGGCTGGAGCACAAGTTCTCGGTGTCGATGGTGGGGCACTCGGGCGGCTCACCGGCCATACCGATAGTGGAATATGGCGAGGTGCCGAGCACGCCGGCGGGCAAGTACGAGGTTGTGGAGGCGTTGTACACCGCGGCAGCGTCTGCGCCGCGTGGCGACTCGACGCTCGACGCGCTGCGACTTGCTGTCGAGAATGTGACCGAGGAGGAGGGCGATGAGTATCTGGTCTTCCTGGTCTCGGATGCCAACCTTGGCGCGTACGGGGTGACGCCCGAGTCGCTGCGGGCCGAGTTTGACCGCGACGAGCGCGTGCATGTTTCGGCCATCTTTATTGCTGAGGAGGGCGTGGCGTCATGGCTCGCCAAAGAGCTGCCCGGTGGCCAGGCCGTAGTGTGCCTCGATGTGGGAGAACTGCCGACGATTATGCGCGAGATGCTTGCCAGCGCGCCGTAACCGGGCGGGCGTCTTCTACACGGCGTGCTTGGCGAACGGGGCGCGGCAGATGGGACACGTCGGCGTCGCCTCGAGAGTAAATGCTTCAAACGAGGCGATGCACGCGGCGTGGAAGACGTGCGAGCACGACAACAGGGTCGGCGGCCGCTGCGGGTCGGCGAGCGAGCCGAGGCAGATGGTGCACTCGTCGCAACCGCGATCGAGCGCGCGGAGGTAGACAGCTTGCCACTCGGTCCCGGAGAGCGATGGCGGCAGGGGTGGGGGTTTTGGATCGTGAGGCGAGCGGGCGGCCGCAAGCTGGGCGTCGATGAGGGCACAGAGCTCGTCGGCCTCGGAATGGGTGGCCTCGACGGCAGCGAGCATGGCGTCCGACGTGGCGGCAAGTTTGTCGACAAGCCAGGCACGGCGGCGTGTGGGATGAGCTGGCGGCGGCGCGGCGAGGCGGAGGGCCTTGTACTTGCGGGCCTGGCTCACGCTCCGCCACCAGGCCTGTATGCGAACGACCATGGCGGTGATGTATGCGCGGCCGGCGTCGGTCACACGCATCTTGTGGTACTCGGTCTTGCGACAGAGCGGGCAGGCGAGCGGCGGGGCGACGACGGGAGCCTCGGGAGCAGCCGCTTGGGCGGCAGCATGGGCCTCAAAAGCAGCGAGGCAAGTCTCGTGAAAGGCATGCGAACACGAGAGCAGGACCTGGGCTGAGATGGCAAACGGCTCGAGGCAGATGGCGCAGGCATCCGAGCCGCGCTCACGCCAGGCAGCGCGAGCGGCGTCCCACTCGCTTGCCTCAGGCGCGCGACCAGCGTGTGTTCCTTCAGGGATAGCCACGAGACCCAGTTGCTGGGCCAGGCTCAGCCGGAGCTCGCGCCTCAGTGGCGTGGCGAGCTGTCCGACGGCGGCATCAGGTCCGAAGAATGCCTCGACGATGGGCGGAACAGCCGAGTCCGGCGGAGCGCGCTGGAGCTCCGATGCTGCCGCACGAGACGACAGTTCGGAACGGCGGTGACAAGACGGATCGGCAGCAGCCTGTTTGCGAGCAAGTCGGCGCTCTCGTGCAGCCTTGGCGCGAGCTAGCTCCTTCTTTGCAGCCGAGATGCGGGGCGGACGGCGGCGAGGTGAACGAGCCGACGTCGTTTTGGCGCGAATTGCGGCCGAGGTATCGAGCGGAGAGCCAGCCACGAGATGGTCCTGAAGCGCGACGGCCGACCAGAGTTGACGGTTTTGTGTGATACGTGAAGAGAGATCATTTGGAGGCTTGTGCCGACGGTGCGCCATGTGTTGGCGTGTGAGCGGGAGGAGTACTCGTCGATAAAGTCCGTTGTGAGGCCTTGAAGAGCTGCCCAAGACCAATCACGCATCCAAGCCGACCGATGATGACGGTTTCAACTCTGACGACTCTCTCTCTCACACAATGATCTCAACCTATTTCACGGCCAGTACTTGCCTTGCCCACACACGCTCTCCAAGTCTTTTGTTGTCTTCCATGACAAGCCATCGATTCCCATGTCATCACGCCGTCCATGTAAAATAGTCAGCGAGTGGCAGTTCGTTGACGGGCGACGACGACCAACTCCGATCCGATCCCTCTGGGGGTTCTTCCACCAGGCCGCCCCCCCCCCCCCCCTCCTTCCCCACCCTCTGCCTCCACACACACCATGCTCGACAACTTTACCATTGTCAACCGAGGAGGGCTCTGCCTGTACTCGTACCAACCTTCTGCAAGTGTGTTCCATGGTGTTGGACTCCATCCTGTGGATGCTCTTATTTCTAACGTCTTGTTGGAAGGTCATGCTTCGTCTGCTGCTTCTCCCTACATTGTTGGCTCGTTTGCATGCAAGTGGCATTTGGATAACAATGTCGGCCTCGTCTACGTTGCTGTCTATCGTCACGCCTTTCCCATTCGCTACGTGGATGATCTTCTCGACTCGGTCCCGGCTGCCTTTGAGTCACACTACTCGGCTGCTGCGAGCAAGCCCAAGGCTCCCTCGCCCACAAACATCGACGACTTTGATGAGACCTTTAAGGATCTGCTGCTGCGAGCAGAGACCGCGGCCGAGGCTGCCAAGCGCGCGGGCAAGGCGGGCAAGGCGAACAAGGGCAAGGCAAGCGAGGGCAAGGCAAGCAAGGCCAAGACGAGCCATGCCAAGGGCAAGGCCGAGGCACTGCCGGATGCCGACGAGGCTGCAGGAGATGAGGCGAGCGGCGACGGCGACGGCGGCGACGGTGACGGCGGCGATGTGCCTGACGGCAAGCCGATGACTCCGGCAGAGAAGCGCAAAGCGGCTATGGCGCGGCTGAAGGCACGGAAGGGCGGCAAGGGTGGCAAGGGAAGCAAGGGCGGGCGCGGCAAGGGCGGCAAGGCGTCGCGTGGCAAGGAGGCAAGCAGCCCGGCGGTGAGCACCAAGAAGCGCGGCAAGGTGATGCGGACCAAGAACAAGCTGAGCAAGGCCGACGAGGAGGCGCTGGCGGCATCGCTGGCGATGAATGCCGACGGGTCGTCGGCTTCCGCGCGCAAGCAGGCGCTCGCGCGCGAGGCCGACGAGGAGGCGCTCGACATCGAGGTGGTCAAGGGCGGGGTGGCGCTCGGCGACATTGCTGACGAGCTCTCGTCGTCGTCAGAGGGCGGGCCGGATCCGCTGGAGGACGGCGACGACGCCGGGTCGAGCTCCAAGCCCAAGGCGACAACCGGCCTGTTCTCGCTCTTCCAGACGCTGACCGGGAACAAGACGCTTGCTGAGGAGGACCTCGAGCCGGTCATGGCGGCGCTTGCGCAGCGGCTGGAGGAGCGCAACGTGGCATCCGAGGTTGCCCATGCGCTCACCGAGTCTGTGGCGTCGAACCTGATCGGGCAGACGCTGCCGTCGATGACGTCGGTCAAGTATGCGGCCAAGCAGGCGCTGACCGAAGCGCTGACGCGGATTCTGACGCCGCGGCGCAAGATCGACGTCATTCGCGAGGCGCATGCAGCGCGCGAGGCTGGCAAGGTGTACTCGATCGTCATGATGGGTGTCAACGGCGTCGGCAAGTCGACGTCACTCTCCAAGATTTGCTACTGGCTGCGGCAGAACGGGTTCTCGGTCCTCATTGCGGCGTGCGACACGTTCCGGTCAGGCGCCATCTCGCAGTTGCAGACGCACGGCAAGCGGCTCGGCGTCGACGTTTACGAGCAAGGCTACGGCGGCGACCCAGCTGCGGTGGCCAAGGCCGCCATCGGGCGCGCAGTCCGCGAGGGCATCGACGTTGTCCTCATCGACACCGCCGGGCGCATGGTCAAGAACTCGCCGCTCATGAAGGCGCTTGCCAAGCTGGTCGAAGTCAACCTGCCGGACCTCATCCTGTTTGTCGGCGAGGCACTTGTCGGCAACGACGGCGTGGACCAGCTCATGGGCTTCCGCCAGGCGCTCATCGACCATGGAACGACGAGCCGCAACATCGACGGCATCGTTCTCTCCAAGTTTGACTCGGTCGACGACAAGGTCGGCGCCTCGGTCTCGATGGTCCACGCCTCGGGTGGCATCCCTATTGTCCTTGTCGGCACCGGCCAGAACTACACCGACATCAAGGGCTTTTCGGTCAAGGGAGTTGTCAAGGCGCTCATGAAGTAAGCCTCTAACAGTTCGGTAGTCGCGCACCTCCCACGTAAACAACGTAGCTCGCAAACGTTGGCGCCGGCTAAAAACAATTCGCAGCCCACCCGCCGCATTCCACCGGGTCACTAACGGCCACAACGGACACCCGGTCGAGCGAGCGGGTGGAGGCCGAGACAGGCCGTTGCTGAGCAAGTCAGCGGGGGGAGAGCGCAACGGCTCTCTTGGGAGCAGGCCTTGTGGCGTAATGGAGTCATGGGCCGGCTCTACCATGCAGACCTCGCACCCGACCATCGAAGCCTTTGCGCCACTGCTCCAGCCGGCTGGCTCGGACGTGGTGCTCGTGGCCGACTCGGCTCCGGGCAGCTTGGCTTCGCCGAGCAGGGCAACCAAGGCCGCACGACTTCGGTTGGCGAGCCTACGCCGAGTCGCCGCCCTCCGCGACCTCGACTCGCTACTCCCGCCACCCATCGCCAACATCCGCCCGCCGCCCACAACGTCGGCGGCAGCTCGCCGCCTCGGCCTTGTCCCACCGGCGGCGTCGTCCGCGCCTCCGTCGTCGAGCGGAGCGTCAGACGGGCGCCGAGGCGGAGGCCGCTCGGCTGGACGTCGACGCAGCCGGATGCAGACAAATGGCACGCCGAGAAGGAGTGGAAAGCCGCCGCTGCCACCCATCGATACCATCGGGGTCATCCAGGTCGAGGCGCTGGAGCTTGATGCGGACGCTGTGTTCGACGTCGCAGGCGAGGCCGTGACCAACGTCTCGGCGCTCAAGGTCTCGTACAACTTTCTCAACGTGTGGTTGGAGGCATGCGTCGGGCAGCACGGCTCGCGCAAGGTCTTTGATCTCGCTCCGGGCTCCGAGGGCGCCCGCAGGCTCGACGCCGTTGTGGCCGGCCTGCCATGGCCCGACGACGCCCTCGAACCGTACCTGGTCTTCTCAGTCCTCGACACCTCGCTGCCGGTACCCGACCAAGAGATTGCTTACGCCCAGGTCCACCTTGGAGACATCCTGGACCACGGTGGAATGGACTTTATCCACGAAGATCTGACGCTGCTCAAGCTGCGATCGGCACTCGGCCCATCACTCGTGCCCAAGCACAAGCTGGTGCCGGCCGGCACGCTGCGGGTCTCCATTGTGTTGCGGCAGTCACTACTTGCGGCTCAAAAGCGAGTATATGAGGCGACGCGACGGGAGCGCGCGGGAGCGCGGTCGCGGTCGCGATCGCGGTCGCCGACGCCGGCATCGTCGCGGCGACCGACGCCTGCTGCGCTGAGGGCCACACGGCGGCGGAGATGACCCAACAAGTAAATACATCGCCGCTGTAGAGCTATGCCATTGGTGCTGTGTCGGGCGTGAACGAGTCGTCGACCGCAGACTGGATGTACATCTCGTCGAGGAGAGCCAGGTAGTCGGGATCGGAAAAGTCGCCGTCATCGATGGTGGCGAGTGCTGCCAGCGTTGTAGCGTCGTTGTCAAAGAGCTCGACGATGCCATAGTAGCGATGGCGGCGGGCGTGGCGGAGGGCGAGGATGCGGACGTAGCCGTTGATCGGCCTGCCACGATGGGGCACAAAGTCGAGGAGTGTGGCGACGGCGTCCTCGGCGCCGTTCTCGGCAGCGCGGATGAGTGCTTGTGACGCCGAGTGCATGGCCTTGGTCCAGTCAGCCATGGGGGCGAGCCGGCGAACAAGCTCGGCCTGATTTTGAACTGCTGCGAGGATGATGATCGTCTTGCCGCGGTTCGAGCCGAGGACGTCAAGAAGTAGCATAGCGTCATCAACAGAGAACTGGTGAGCGACGGCACAAATGACATCGCCTTGGATGGTGCCGGCGATAGATTCGCGGATGGCAAGGAGCTTGCCAAGCGCCTGCTGCACTCCACCGGCAGCCAAAACGATACCGATGACGAGTTGTGACATGATGATGTGGACGTTGGTGGCGATGGTGCTGGGAAAATCCGGGTTGGCCGGAAACGGCAGGTCAGCCGGCGATGACGCGCCAGACGAGCTGTGTGCCGAGCCCGACAGCGGAGGTCTTCTGGGTGCGTTGACGGAGGTGACGTTCATGGGCGTACGTTCGTGGGATTGGAGACGTGCCATCATGGCGTGATGCGGTGTGTAAGAGGAGGGATGTATGTGACGCTCCAATAAGGTTCCGTTGCAAATCGCGCCGTTTTAAGGTGTCGCTGAGTGTGACGTTCACCGCCGTATCAGATGGTGGTGGTGGAAAAAAGTTCTAGCCAACGCGCACAGCAAAGACTTTGAGATCGGGCTCAAGGGAGGCCAAGGAGGCCAGCTTTGGTGCCGATCCAAGGCTTCTGAGAACAGTAGGTGTTATGTGTTGTGGGCGTGGGAGATGAAGATGGGGAGGCTCTTTGAGGGCGCAAGAATGTGTCGCATGCATTTTTCGTTAAAGGCTCATACACAAAGGGCACAGTGTGGGACCACTTCCTCGAACTCGCTCATTGCCACAAGTGTGACAAGAAAAGACAAGGACAAGTGCATCTGTAGACGCAAGTGCCATTCGTTTGCACGCTGATGCGCGGGCTAGAGAGCGGCGAGGGCGGCGGCAAATGCAACGTTGAGAGCGTGGCCGGGCTTGTGGGCGACGACGACTCCGCCGCGGAGGCGATGAAAGGCGGCAGGTGCGAGGGTGAGGTCGCCGATGAGGTCAAGCGTCTTGTGGCGGACGGCCTCGTCGTCGGGAAAACGCAGCATGTCGCGACTCTGGTCAGAATACAGCGCACCAGACGCGGTGTAGACGAGCGCATTGTGCAGCGAGCCGCCGGCGGCGAGTCCAGCGGCGCGCAGTGCGTCGAGCTCGCTCTCAAAGGTGAATGTGCGGGCCGGGGCGATGTCTGCGGCGTATGCCGCACGTCCAGCCTCTGTCCACGGATCAAAATCCCAGCAGAGCTGCTGCTTGCCGAGTGCGGGATAGACGACCGAGACGTCCAGCGAGCACACGTCCGGATCGGCCGCTGCTCCCGGGCTATATGCGATGAAGCCGTTGGTACCCTTAGGATCGTCAACCCTCAGCGGGCGATCGAGAGGCGCGAGCAGCGCGCAGGTTGCTGACGAGGTGTCGCCGCTAAGCTCGGCGCGGCCGCACGAGGCGATAGCCTGCACCCACTCGGACGCTGACCCGTCGAGAATGGGCATCTCCACCGTATCGGCACCTTGATTGGCCTCAATCTCGATGATCGCAGCATCGATGCCGGAGCCTACCAGAGCTGACATCATATGCTCAACCGTGGCCACAGAGCACCGACCGATGGACAAGGTTGTCGCCAGAGTAGTCTCTGAGACCAAGGCAGGCGCCAGCGGAGTCATGACGCCATTGAGCTGAGCAGTCACAAGATGTGGATGAGGGGAGTGGTGAGGAAGCGGAGCAAGGGAGACACTCGCCGGGCGCCCCGAGTGTAGACCAATACCAGATACAACAACTCTGCGTGCAAGAGTGTGCATGGCGGAGGGTGGTGGGGTGGAGGTGGGATATGAGCGACTTGCTGCCTCTGAGCGAGTTGAGTCGTGATGGAGCCACACCCACACACCGCCAGCATCGGCCGAGTGCTAAACAGACGGCAGCCATCGCCAACCTGTGGAAAGGGGAGAGTTTCTTCACGGACGTGTTCCTGATATGGCCTTGATAGCCATTCATTGATCTTGATCGCCCTTCATCGGTCATGGTCGGTCATGATCAGTCGTGGTTGGTCATGATCACCCGCTCTTGCTCGCCACACTCACCCAGTGCGGAAGTTTACTCTTCACCAACCATCCGAGAGGGTCAGCTTTTGCCTCGGGCACACTGCTACGAGCTTGATCGCCCTCGATCGCCCTTGATCGCCGCCTCCCCCCTGCCTGCTGTGCGCACAAGGATCAGGGGCAGGGGCGGAGGCGGGCAGACAGGGGCGGTCTGGCCAAAGCCCACCACAGCTATCCAACATAATCTGTATTTGCAACTGCATCTGACCATTGGTTTGGAGTCGGTGTCTCCATCGGTGTGGTGATGACAATGCCAGCGCCATGGCAACCGGTGACGCAGTCGACCACTTGACCCCCCTTTCCTCCCCCAGCACCATGTCCGGCCTGACACCCGAGCAGCTGAACCAACTTTCTGCAGACATTGAGAGCGCCATGCACGAGGAGCAGACCGCACAAGTGGGTACGTACCTTCTCCAACTTGTTCTCCATGCCCTTGCTCCATTTTCCAACCTCAACACCTCTTCCTTCCTCCTCTTGTGCCCCCGCTAGGTGGCGGTGGGGGTGGGATGGGGGGGCGGGGAGCGCGGGCGGGGGGCGGCAGAGCGGGCGGGGCGCCACAGTCGGCAGGGTGAAAGCGAGTGGTGGGGAGCTGGGCTTTGCTGGTGGACGAGTTACCAGGTCATTGGCTTACTTACTCTGTGGTGGGCTCTGAATTGGGCGTGGTTGGTGTATGGGTGACGGTGCTAGAGCTCAACAAGCTCGTTCAGTCACGGGCGGGCTACGCGGCTCGGCTCAACGAGAACACCATGGTCAAGGAGGAGTTTGATCTGCTGGATGATGACGCGAGGGTGTTCAAGCTCATCGGTCCTGCACTGGTGCTGCAGGATGTCGATGAGGCAAAGCAGAACGTCGAGAAGCGGCTCGAGTACATCACCGCAGAGATGGGTCGCCTCGATGGCGCTATCACCGCAAAGGAGGGTGTGGTCCAGGCTGCGCAGAAGAAGGTTGCCAAGCTCAACCAGAAGGCTTACCAGATGCAGCTGGCCGCCCAGAAGCTTCAGCAGATGCAGAACATGCCGCAGGAGGTTCAGCAGAAGAAGATCAACGCTTGAGCGAGGTACATGTACCCGACGCACATTGAAGACCACTCCCGTACACAGAGCCCCGCAGTTAGTGTTACTCGGTTACACGATGGTGTTGATCGGAGATGGCGGCCCGAGGAGCGAGCCCCGGGTGTGATCCGAGCACTCATCGTCGACCATAGTGGTGAGCTCGACGTCAGCGATCGACGATCGCGGCGACTGGATGACAATGGCCTCGCCCGAGTCCATGCGGACCATACCGGGAGAGTAGAACTCGGCATCCGCGTCCTTCTCGTCGGCTGCCATCCGTCGAAGATCCAGAGCCACGCCGAGGACAATGACGCCGAGACAGATTGCCAGCCCGCCGAGGACGCCCGCGGTCCGCATCGTTGCTTCGCCGCCTGTGCCGGCAAACAAGACAACAAACGCGCCACTCATTGCGCCGATGGCAATCCGGTTGTGCAGCTCTTCGCCATATGGCCGAGCCGCGGCAAGATGGACGGTCGCCACAAACAGCAGCAGAGCGCCGAGGTGCGCCTTGTTGACATCGCCGGCTACAAAGGTAAAGGCGGCGACGACACCGACCTTGCGCGCCATGATCACCACCTCGAACCACCACCATCGGCTCTCGAATCGCGCCACCAGAAAGGCGTAGCGCAGCGAGAAGATGGCGCGGTCGAGAACTCGCCGCCGGTTGCGGAGAAAGTACCACACTGAAATCGGGACGCCAAGCGCATACACGCCCACCGCGCTGCCGCCGACGGCCGCAAGCCCCATCCACGATGCTGTGTAACAGCTTCGCGCCGGATCCGCGGCTAGGATCCATCGCCCGTCCCTCGCCTGCTCACAGCCAAAGACCGAGAGCGCCGCCGAGCAGAGCGGCATGTAGATGAGGACCAGGATCTGGAACCACGTCCGGCCCGCCGCCCATCGCAGCATGCTCCAGTTGGTGCCCTCAAAGGCGGCAAAATTGTCCAGCAGCCCATACGCCAGCATCGGCACAAAGATGCAGCACGTGACCGCGCCGAGTGCAAGCGCCGCAAAGATCGGAAGCGCAAGCGCGAGCGCCCACTTGAGGACCCAGACATCGGCATTTGCAGACGCCGCGCATTCGGGCGAGGTCAGCTCAAAGTTGATGTTGAGCGAAGAGGCAAACGAGAAGACCGCACGAGCCACCTCGCCCCATTCCAGATCCAGCCGTCCGTACAGCGCTGCAATCTGCAGCGCGTTAAAGCCGATCATGACGGACGCAAACTTGTAGTGCAGCGAGGTCGAGAGGTTGAAGCCTAGCATCATCGCTATCGCTGCCAGGCATCCGACTACCAGTGCCACTACGACGGCACTGTTCGCCCCAGCACGGCATCGAAGGCACCGTGAGCCGAGCCGATAGTATCCTCGCGCGCACTCGGCGCAAAGCCGCGACGTGTAACCGGCCTGACAGGTGCCGTCGCCGGTACATGCACTTGCTACCGGGCATGCTAGGAACACTTCCGGCTGCTCGGATGGGAACCAGCCCGTTGCCGCTAGCGGCTGCGCGTCGCCGCCGGCACAAACGGCGCCTTCTGGACATGCCAAGCACGCCCCAGCCTCATCTCGGGCGAGATTGTAAAAGCCAGGCATGCACACGCAAGCCGCGACCGTGGCGTTGCTGCCGCTCGCGCCCCGGACGCGATTTGCCGCGCAATCGGGCACAACATCGCACGGCTCGGTCGATGTCGTTCGAGAAAACAGGCCCGGCTCGCACACGTCACACGCCAGTACATCGTTTGTGCCCGAGACTCGGCCCTCGCCCGGTGGGCACGCGCTGATCTCGATAGTCAGAGAGCCCACCGCTCTGCCTAGCGCAATGTCGACCACACCGCTGACTGTGGTGCCAGCCGCAAAGGCACTCCGCGGGAGCCCGAGGCTGATCCCCGCCAAGCTCCCAGTCCCACCCTGTCCGTCTAGAGCGATACCGAGCTCGGCGCCACGAAGCACACCTGTGTCCACAACCGCAAGCTTCGCCTTCAGGCTGGGATCGACCACGGCCGTGCCAAGCGCATCATAAGCGACGATCGTGCCGCCGCCGAACGACCGTGCCGAAACAGCAACCGCCGGCAGCGACGCCTCGGCGACTGACACCGTCATCGGCGGCGAGGCGACCAGCGAGCCGTAGCCATCCGCTGCGAACACCGTGCTCGTTGGCGCGTCGGCCGTCATCGCCGACGCTAGCCCCGTGTCCGGGCAAACGTATCCATACCCACCACCGACGGCGGCTGTAATCTGCGCGTCGCCGTCGATCGCCGAGAATGCGAGCCGTGGCAGAGCCGAACCCGGTACGCAGGCGAAGATGAGCCCGCCGTAGTCGGCGGTGTGCGAGCCGATGAGAACGTCCGAGCCAATGGCGAGCGCCGGCCATGGTCCTCCGGTGAGTCCCTCCAGCTGAGCCATCGAGGCCGGCAGCGTGTAGAGAGCCGGCGTGACCGCAATGGCGCCGCCAAGTCGTGCAGCGTTGAGCACGAGGCGGCCGGCGGCCATGGTCAGGTTGGCGGCGCCAGATACCGCCAGGCCGCCGCCAGATCCGCCAGCGACATTGCTTCGGATCGCTGACAGATGCCCGGCGAACGTGATCGTGAGCGATGGCGGCCCGCCGCTGCCTATGGCGCATACACCACCACCAGAGCCTGCTGCCGAGTTGCCCGCGACAACAACGTTGGTGGCGATAATGGAGCCACCAGCAGCGACAACGGCGCCACCATCGCGACCGGCCAAGTTGTCGACGAAGGTCACATCATTCAGCGTCACACGATCTGCGTGTGCGTCAACCGCGAGCGCGCCTCCAGAGCCTGCTGCTGTGTTGCGGGCAAATGTGGAGGAGCTGGCGATGAGAGAGCCTGACGCCAAGATGCGAACAGCGCCTCCATCACTAGACCCAGTGCTGTCGGTGATGGTCGCGTTGCGGAGCGTAAGAAGACCGCCATGAACAAGCAAGCCAGAGCTGGCATCGGCCGCTGTCCCTGATCCGGTGCGGGTGATGACCAGGTTCTCAAGGGTGAGCTCGCCGTGGACGGCAAAGAGGACGCCGCCGTGGCAGTCGATCGCGAGTGGCGCGTCCAGTGGAGCAGCGATGGTCCATCGGGCTGCGACTGGGATGGGAATGAGGGCCGCAGTTGAGCAGCCTGAGAGCTGCGGTGCTTGGGCGGCGACATGTACGCGCTGCGGCCAGCATGTGGATGCGGTGCGGAGCGTGGCAGCGAGGGTGTTGAGATGCGCGTAGCTGGCAGCGCCATAAACAGGGCGCGGGCTGATGCGGGCGGGAGGGTAGTCGATGGTCGGATGCGCAGGCGAGGAGCCCATGTGGGCGGCTGCGATAAAGGCGCGGACTGTGTAGTCCTCGGCAGAGGAGACGACGACGTCGCGGAGGCCATCGGCGTTGATGTCGGCGATGACGACGTCTGAGGCAAGTGGCGCCGGCTCTGGAAACGGGATACGGGCGGGGTCAAAGACACCCGGGCTAGTCCCGCGGATCCACCCAGCCTCGTCTGAGTTGTGGGCCGCGTACACCACATCGAGCACGCCGTCGTGGTTGATGTCACCTACGGCAATCGAGGAGAACGCTGCCCCGGTGGCAAGCGTGGCGGGAGGCGCAAAGGAGCCTGGGCTTGTGGAGCGGATCCAGACAAGCGCCATCGAAGAGCCAAGGGCGGCAATGACGTCGAGCGAACCGTTGGCGTCGAGATCAGCAAGCTGCAGCGCTTGGACGTTGGAAACGCCCGATGCGGCAATGGGGATGGGGATGGGAGCGAAGGAGCCGTTTCCAATGCCCGGGAGATAGGCTATGGTTGACGTCGACGACGAGACGTAGACGATGTCAGTGCGGGCATCGCCGTTGATGTCTGCAATGACCAGGTCCTGGACCGCACCGAGGCCCGTGGCGAGTGCGATGGCGCCGGCTGGAAAGCTGGCGCTGCCTCCAGTGTTGTAAAAGGCAAGGAGCGAGGGGCTGCCCGAGGTGGCGAGGACTACGTCGAGATGGCCGTCGCTGTCGAGGTCGCCAGCGGCTGCGGCGAGAGGGGTGGGGCAGGTAGTGCAGAGATCTGTGCGAAGAGCAGGCGACGAGGCAAAGGTGCCGGGTGAGATCGGGTTGTTGAGCATGACAACAGCAAGCCCGTCGCCGGCGATGCAGATCATGTCGGGCAGGCCGTCGGCGTTGAGGTCGGCGGCGACGACGGCAATGGGCCCGTCAAGCGAGGTTAGGACGTTGGTCTTGGTGGCGAGGGCAAAAGAGCCGTGGCCGGCGTTCGGGTAGAGGGCAAAGAGATCGTCCGAGGTGGAAGCGATGGCGGCGTCGACGGTGCCGTCGAGATTAAAGTCTGCGAGGGCGATGGATTTTGCCCGCTTGGCGACGGTGGTGATGGTGACGGAGGAGGCGGCAACGGCGACGGCTGACCCGTTGTTGGCGTACCATGCGACGGTGGCCGCCGAGTCTGCAGCGACAAAGACATCGGGCGTACCATCGCGATCGAGGTCTTCGAGGCCGATGAAGCGGGCGTTGGTGAGCGATGTGTCGATGGTTTGTGAGCCGGCGGCAAACGAGCCGCGGCCAAGGTTGACGTGCCAGGCGATGAGGCCCGAGGTAGCCGAGGCCGAGACAACGTCAACTGCGCCGTCTGCGTTGATGTCGCCGAGAGCAATCCACCAGACCTGAGCAGTGTCTGTGGCGATGGTGACGCGAGCAGCCGAGTCAAAGCCGCCCGCGCCGTTGTTGACAAAGTAAACGACGGCACCCTCGGCGGCGACGGCGACGACAACGTCGGAAGCACCATCTCCAGTGAGATCGGCAGCACGGGTGCAGACGGCGTTGCCGACGTCGCTGGCGACGACGATCGGTGGGGCAAAGGTGCGGTTTCCAATGTGAGGGACATAGAAGACGGTGTTGGCCTGTGGGGCGGCAACGAGGACATCAGCCCTGTTGTTGCGGGTGAGATCAACAAGCTCGACCGAGTTGGAGCCATCGTAACCAGTGGCGAGTTCGATGGAGGTCGACTCGGGGAAGGAGCCGGGCGATGCGGCGTACCAGATGCGGACGGCGGCTGGGCCGATGGCTCCGGCGCCGACGAGGTCGATGGCACCATCACCGTCCATGTCGTGGATGGCAAGACCCTGCATATTGGCGATGCCCGGAGAGAGGACGTTGAGCAGTGAAGAGGTAAAGTCCCCGAAGCCGTCGTTGGCGATCCACACAAGAGCGTCCTCGTCGAGCGAGGCGACAACGACATCGACAAAGTCATCGGCATCGATGAGGCCAGCGGCAACAGCTCGAGGTTTTCCGAGTGCATCGGTGACAAGGACCGAAAGCGGAGAGGCGGTGACAGCAATGTCACGAAAGTACACAACTTGATGATCGTCCGAGATGGCAACCAGAAGATCCATGTCACCGTCGGGAGTGAGGAGAGCCGGGGCAGCCGACCAGGCGCCTCGAGCGGTGGTGGAGAGAATGGCACGCTGCGGAGGGATCGAAGGCAGGAGACAAGAAGAACCAAAACCAGTTCCCGAGAACAAAAGCAGTATGGTAGCTACCACTACGATGGCGAGTAGCTTGCCCATGGATGATGAGTACAGCCGTGGCTTCGAGTGCCGACGAGAAGAGTGCGGTAATGGGCTGTCAGCCGCAGTTTGAAATTGGGCGCACGCATGGGAGCCCTCCGCGTGCGGCACTTGGGTGGTGGAGCAGGTACGCGCGGGGGATTGGCCAGTTCAGGGTGTGATTTACGGGCCGAGTGAGGAAGGAGGTGCGATGTGGGCGGTGGGCGCGGGATCAGCGGGACCGGAGGGTGCGGAGGACGAGGACGCAGCCGAGGAGGGCGACAATGAGGGTGAAGACATACTTGAGTGAGAGATCCCAGGAGAGGCTCGGATCAAGCATGTCTGCGAGCCATGGCGGGAACCAGGACGGCAAGGCAGATCGGGAGACCTGCCGATGAGCATGGAGATAGACAAGAGCCAGAGGAGTGGCCCAGTTGCCAGCGCGTTCGATGGCAGCCCAGATGGACTCGCCAGCAATAGGGCGAATGGCAGCAGTGGCAAAGGCCCAAGCAGCAGCCCAGATGGTGACCAAGGAGAGAGGATAGAACAGAGTCAGAATGCCGATGGCGATGTCGAGGAGACCGATGAGGGGAAGAAGGATGACGGCCTCAGCAGAGGTAAAGCCACCTGCCGCCAGATAGCCACGCCACTTTGAGGCCTCAGCTCCAGAAAAGGCAATCCATCCATGGCCTACAAAGCAGCCGCAGACTCCCACACGGAGAATGCTCTCCAGCTGAATGTCCACCGTAATGCTCATGGTCGAGTCACGTCTGTCGTCGCTTGTCGCTTGTCGCCTGTGGCCGGCGCCGCGTGGCCGGGCGTCGAACGCAGGGCTGACGCACACCTCCCCCCCAAAAATCGACACGTGTGGAGAGGGGGGGATATCCGTAGCATGATCCGTTGATCCGTAGCGTGATCCGTAGTATCGGTAGCGTGATCCGTAGTATGATCGGTAGTGTGATCGGTAGCGCGTTCGGTAGCGTGATTCGTAGTATGATCCGTAGCATGATCCGTAGTATGATCGATAGTGTGATCCGTAGTATGATCGGTAGCGTGTTCGGTAGCGTGATCGGCAGTGTGATCGGGAGTGTGATCGGTGGCGTGATCGGTATTATGATCCGTAGTATAATCGGTAGCGTGATCGGTGGCCGGCGTGTGATGGCTGACTGCGGGTCGACGACCCAACGATAAAGTCTCAATGCGGTAATCAATGACGTTTAGAAGCACCACTCGTCTTCTCATCTCATCATGTCTGGCAAGCTCGGTATCTCCATGCTCGGTTCCATTGTTGGCGGCGTCGTCCTCTGCGAGATTGTCAACGCTGTCTGGGGCTGTACGTACCTCCTCCCTTTTCTCACCTTCTCCCACCTTCTCCATCCCTCACACCAACCAGTACTTGCCGAGGTGAACCGCCACCCGGCCACTGGTCCATCCCGCCACCTTGTTCCCCCTCCCCCCCCCCCCCCCCCACGCCACCCTACCCTACCCACCCTTGCCCATTAGCCAACGACCAACGACCACGACCACCTGTACCACTCCAACCCAGATACCCCTCCATCCACCCACCACCCATATGTGCATGACATACACCTACACCTTGCCCATACAAGCGCTGGCTAGGCTGGCTGACCTGGCGGCAAAAATATTGCCCACCACCACCAACCACCGACTGTCGCCTTGATCACACCCATGCCCTTCCTCTCCCCCCATTCCCCGACCACCACCACCACCACCACCACCACCACCACCACCACCACCACTACTGTTGCACATCTTTCTCTCCTACTCGGAGTGGCGGTCTCCCTTGCTAGTCATGGCCTCCTGGGCTCGCTCTCCAACTCGGCGGAAGTGGGTGACGTCGGGTCGGCTGACGGGTCTTCCGAGTGTCGTCGTCTCGCGCCCGCACCGGCTCCCTCCCTCCTCCCCCGTCCCCCCCCCTCCCAAAGTACAGCTGGTACATGGGTCAGCTGGGGAAGGGGTGTGGGAAGGACTTGTTCCGATAATGACTCACTGTGTGGATGTGATTGGAAATGGATCTATGTGTGTCGATAGCCCCGCTGCCGTCGACCGTCAACCCGAAGTGGCGCAAGGCCACCGAGGAGCGTCGTCGTGAGCTCCACCTCGACCCGTACACCACGGGCGGTGCCCAGTGAAGGGTGTCAATGAACACATGTTCGATTTGGTCTGTGGCCAGTGTGTGTGCGCGCGTGTGTGGAGAAAGAGAGAGAGAGAGAGAGAGGCTGTAGCCAGCCGCATCGTCCATGTCGTCCGCGTCGTCCGCGTCGCAGAGCGTAAACGCGTGGTATCACCCGACAATGCCCTGGGTGCCAAAGATCCGGAACCGGATGTGCCCGTCGCCGTCGGCGTACGAACAGACACAGAGGTCGAGGTAGGCACCATCGGCGAGAAAGCCGGTCATCCGTTCACGGACCCCATCACGGGTCACGTTCGACTCGGTGAGGTCGGTGGCAGGGAGGCCAGGAAAGAGGGCGAGCGCGTCATCGTCAAAGGCGATAACGTCGGCAACTGCCGAGGCGTCGACCAGCCGGAGCACAAACATGTATGTGTGCTGCGGCTTGGCCAGCGTAGCGATGTCGCAAGCGGCGCAGGCGTAGGTTCCGCTCGAGCCAGGACTTGCGCGCTCCACCAGACCGCCGCAAGCCGGACAGAGCGGGACGCATGCAGCCTCGACCTGGCGCGGGCCCGGCGTGATTTCGACAACCCGCGCCAGAACTCGCGCCTTGACGTGCTCACTCCGCGCACGCTCCAACACTGATCGCAGCGAGACTACCGGCCGGGTACGGTTGGTAGCGCTCGGAGCCGCCTTGCACTGCCACACGCCCGGCTCCGGGCAGAGGAGAAAGCGCGAGGTCGACGCCGCGGTGCTCGACGGCTCGACAGAGTACGCTGGTCCATCGACCAGCATCTCACCGGCGCTGCCGAGCCGGCACTCATGGAGCTCGACCCACGAGTCCGTGCCAGCCTCGGCACCCATCGCACCCAGGCACCGCCGCGTCTGCTCACTAAGGATCAGCCGCTGCGCCGGCAGCGGGTCAAACGACCACCGCGAGAGAAAGCCAGCGCCAAGGGGGCGCGCGTCGAGCAGGCGCGTCTGGCCCGGCGGCGGCGAGCCGTCCCAGCCGAGCCCGGTCTGTGCTTCCAGATCGACGCTCGCCAAGCGGACGACCAGGCAAACCGCGCCTCCGTCCGGCTTGACATTGCCCAGCATGACCCGGGGGCAGCTGCCTGCGGCGTGCTTGGCCGGCGCGAGCGGAGCCAGCTCCCGTGGAAGCGCTGTGACGGTGCAGAGCGCTTCGTACCAGCCGCGTAGCTCGCGGACCCGCGCCCGGTCGGCATCGTTGAGGGTGTGCTTGATGGTGAGCGTCGGATGGGTGCGCGGCTCGATGGGCGTACCTAGAGCCTTGTCAAACACCGCAAACGAGGTCCGCTTCCGTGAGCAGCCCTGCCGGAAGCCACGGAAGAGCTGGATGTCGAGTCGGTGAATGCGGACGACGTCGCCAACACCGGCAATCGGCGGCAGTGCGCCCGGCGGCGCAAACACGTTGATCCGCAGCGACGAGAGCTCAGCGTCGCTGTTCGAGTCGTCGCGGAGCGTGAGGCTCATCATCATGTCTGACCCGCGAGTCTGCCGCGGCTCGCGGAGCGCAACAACCACCCCGTAGACGTGCGCCTCCATCCCCACAGCCACCTCGACCAGCGGTGTGTACCGGTAGCTGCGAGTCATGACCTTGCGGCGCTTGACGCCGGTCGCTGACCCGGTGCCTCCTCCGTCGCCTGCTAGCCGGCGCTTTCCGCTCGCGCTGACGCCGCCCGTCTCAACCTCGTCGTTAGCCAGGACAGACCGCATCAGCGCAGCCTGCGAGTCCAACTCGTTCAGCTTCCCTCGAGTCACCTTGATCACCAGGTTCTCCCGTCCTGCCAGCAACACATCCATGACAACGTCCAGCACCCGCTTCTCGGGCTCATCGTCCGAGATACACAGCGCCAAATTGCGGTGCTGGTTGCCCGGCCCTCCCGATGGGCCACCTCCACCTGCTTCCAGCGGCACAATAGCCACCGCGGGCACCGGATGGACCACCAGCACATCGTTCTTGGCCACTACGCCGGCGAGCTTGTGGGCAAAGGCGCCGCGGACAATGAGCCGAACTCGGTTCGGCCCGCTTGTTTCGCTCGCTTCAGCCATCAGCGACACCGATCGTATCCTCAGTCTCTGTGCCACTTGCAACTCTGATGATGGCGATGGAGCCGATGTGCTTGCGCCGTGTGCCCTTTGTGTCCTCGCTCCCTCCGTCACTTCCTCCAGCAGGAACGAGGTCTCGGCCTCGGCCCCGCTCCCAGTGGTTGGCCAGACGAGGAGTACCCGCCCTACCACCACCCCACCCTCTAGCTGTCGGCTTTGTCCAGAAGCCAGCGCCAGCTGAGCCACTCTGACCCGGTCTCCGTCCATGTTGCGGCCGCCTTGCCGTCGTGTTGCGCTGAGAGAGGTGTGTCGGGCCGCTCCCCGAGTCGTACACGCTTTCGCGCGCGCGGGAAGAGCTCATTCACAATTGGATAGGGGGTGAGGCAGCGATGGGTTGCGTTTGATGGCGCCAGCTAGCAATGTCCGGCCGCTGACTGGAGACCGTAGTTTGTGCATGGCCCGGGCGCGAGCGGCGGATGTCGTACAAGAAAGAGCCAGCAGCCAAGTCGAAGGCGAGCGCGGCCACGATCTGGGTCGCCGTCCATTGGCGGCCGTCGGCGTGAGGAAAGACTGAGCCTGACCACCAGAGCTCAACCTCTAGCGCTTCGTCCTGGTGGCTGTCAGAGTCTCGTAAGGAAGGCGGGATGGCCGAAGAGAGCGTGATCTTGCCAGGCAGTGTGTGTGGAGATCAGCGGCGCTACCATCGGCGGAGCAGTCGAGGAGAACAGCAAGCAGTGGCCGCATGTCCTCCACTACTTGCTTTGCCCAGCGAGTTGTCAGCTCGACATTGGCGTCGGCGCCGCAGGTGTAGACGCAGGCGATGTCTGCGATGTCCGCCACGCGACAGGCAACGATCGCATCGATGGCGCCACGGGCCACCTCGAGGGCATCTGATCGCGGCTGGCCGTTCTCCACAACTCGCCACTCTTGGTCCATAGCGACGTGTGCGGCATGAGCAGCTGTTCACTTTGAGACGCGCGCCAACGCGTCCGAATGACCGTACCGTCAAGGGTTCGGTTGTTCTCCCGGCTGCAAGGACGGGCACCTGATCGCGAGTGGGAGTCATCCCCCGCCACCACCATCACCACCACCACCACTACCATCACCGCCGTCACCAACCATCCATGCCGATCCCCATTCCCCAAACTCCTCCGATCGCATCCCCCAGCTGCGTCTCACCCCCCTCTCCTCTTGATCAGCCTCCCCATCATCCACCTCTATTCGCCCTGATCTCCCCATCTACGCAATCCCCCCCTCCCACCAGACTCTATACACCCTTTCTCACCCACCACAGCTCCTCTATCCTCATTCTCAATGCCCTAGCTTCGCCATCCCACCCTCCAGCTCCACCTGGGTCCCCCCTCCCCCAAAGGCCCATGACAGCGTCGGATCGGCCAGCTGTCGCCATCTCCGGAGGCATTGCGGGAGTGGGGCTGGGAGGGGCGGACAGGGGTGAGAGAGAGGCACACGGCACTTTGTGGACACACTTTGCAGGGCGTGAAGTGATCAAGAGTCTAGTAGCATTGTCTGTGATTGAGGAAGCAAGACAATCAGAGTCTGTGTTGTACAAGGTATCGCAGCGGCAGCAGTTGGTGACGAGCCAGCCAAGCCACAGCCCATCCCCCTTTGCATCCACGGTTGAGGAGGTGCTGAGTGTAGTGCCGAGGCAAGGGAAGGAGATAGAGATTGATTTGAAGAGATCTGAAAGAATAGAAAGGTGAAGCACATTATGGCCTTTCATACAAGCCCAACAACGTTGACGTTGTACATTCCTCCCGTCTATGCGGCTTCGGTCAAGGATGGCATCCTCGCTCGTCTCAACTCGTTCATTCTCAAGTACTCGGAGCGACTCGCTGGCGTTCCCATCGCCTACTCCAACCTCCGCCTGCTCAACTATGGTGCCCGCATTGTTGATCCGGCGGACATGTGCATCAAGATCAATGTTGACTTTTGCATCTTTGCTCCTGTCGTCGGTCAGCGTCTGACCGGAACCGTCAACAAGGTCTCCTCGGATCACATCGGCCTCCTCGCTTACGGCGTCTTCAACGCCGCCATTCCGGCGAGTGCCATCGCTCTTGACGAGTGGTACTACGATGCCGACGACGATGCCTGGGCCGTCCGCGGCATGGACGTCGTTGTCTCCGAGGGCGCCCTGCTCTCATTCACTGTCTCGTCCATCACGCCCTCGGCCGCCATCATGGTCATCGAGGGCTCGCTCAAGGGCATCCCGCCCGAGGAAGCCGTCGTCCGCAACGGCCGCGACGCCCTCGCCCCGGTTGTTCCGTCGCTCAAGCGCGGCCATGATGGCGCCCCAGCCATCACCACCCGCAAGACGTTTGTCGACTCGGACGACGACACCGCCGCTGCTAGCGCCAAGGTCGCCGCGAGCGAGGGCAACGATGACGACGACGACGACGACGACCCAAGCATGGTCTTTGCTCGCGAGACCAAGCGTGCCAAGCTCCTCACGTCGAAGGCCAAGCCTGCCGCCAGCTCTGGCGCTGACGATGATGCCGAGCCGGTGCACACTGACGGCGACGACGACGACGACGTCGCGCCCATGGCTGTCGCCGACGACACGCTCGCCAACAAAGCCAAGTCGAAGGACAAGGCCAAGTCGAAGAACAAGGCCAAGTCGAAGGACAAGGCCAAGTCGAAGGACAAGGCCAAGTCGAAAGACAAGGCCAAGGCCAAGGCCAAGAGCAAGAAGAAGTAAATCGGTGACCCGCCGCGGCGAGTTGTGAGCGTTTTACTGTGAGCTCGACGATGAGGCCTTGGCCTCGGCGGCAACGTCCTGCAGGTCGTGCAGGTCGGTGTCGACGTCGGCGGCAGCGTCGACAACCGGCTCGGCGTCGAGGTCCGGGACGGCGGCGGACCCGGCGGCGTCGGCGGCGGGCCTGGCGGCGGCCATGTCGTCGAGGATGTAGCCGTACTTGTAGCCGCGTAGCGGCTCCTCGGGCCGCAGGCGGTCCTCGAGGTCAACTAGGCCGGCCGGCGTGATGATGAGCGCGTCGTGCTTGACCAGATCGTACACGTTGGCGCCGAGCGGCGGGAGGAGGGTGACGGTGTGGAGGTTGCGCGAGGCAAGCTCAAACTGGGTCAGCGGGTTGAGGCTCTCGCCCTCCCAGCGGGCCTGGAACGCAGGGTCGATGACGACCGCCGACGAGATGCCCAGCTTGGCGAGCGCGGCCTTGGCCTCGCGAGTCTTGGCCGCCGGCAGGTCGAGCGAGTCGACCACAAACAGCGCGTCGGCAGCGTACTTGTTGGCCAGAACAGAGCGGAGCGCGGCAGCGCGGACCTTTTTGTTGAGCGCAAAGGCAAAGGACCGAATCTGCTTTCCAAAGGCCACACCACCGCCACGGATGTGCGGGGCCTTGCGGACCGGACCACGGCGAGCCCTCCCCGAGCCCTTCTGCTTGAAGGCCTTGCGGTTAGAGCCACGGACTTCACCGCGCGACTTTGTCTTGGCCACTCCGGAGCGGCGCTTTGCCATCTGCCAGCGGACGGTTCTGTGGATGAGATCCTTCCTCAGCGGAGTGCCAAAGAGGACAGGATCCAGCTTGACCACGCCCTTGATGGCGGCATTAGCCAGATCAAAGACCGGCGCCTCGTACGCGTCCTTGCTCCACCCGACATGACCATCCGAGAGACCAGCATCAGTAGCCAGTGCCACTTCCATGCCATCCTCTCCATTCCCAGCCACTCCCTCCAAATGCTTCGGCTGCCAAGTCGAGCTAAGTCGTCCCAGCCCACGCAGTGTGTTCTGTATCCCCCATACCCCCTTGTTAGTCCTCGCCTCCCTCTCCTCGCGGGATGGTCGTCCGTCACCCGCTCGGCTTCCCCACCGCTCCCCACCGCTTACCACACTCATGGACAATGCGCCTCTCCCTTCAACCACAGACACACATCACATGTTCTATGTTACGTACGCTACGCAGGGTGGCGCGTGCGAGGTGCATGGCCTGGATGTGCGACGAGTGTGGGCTGTGACTCGCTGACTGGGTTGGGCAAAGGTAGGACAAGGGGGGGGATCGGCCATGGCGGCGCCGACTCGGCCGAGTGGTGAGCTGGCTTGGCAGGACTGTGCAACATGCTGGAAGCGTGGGAGAGGATGGCGATGATGATGATGATGATGATGGTGATGGCAGCAGCCTGAGGAGGATTTGGACGAGGAAACGAGACAAGGGGAGAGGGGGGGGGGGGGGGGGGGAAGTTGTTCAATACTAGCCGGGCATCTCGAGATCGTCGGCATTGTCGTCGACGGTGGGGGTGGCGACACGCCGCGGCTGGGTAGCCTGTGCAGCTTGTGCAGCCTGAGCGTAGGACATGGAGACGGCCGGTGGTGTGACATCGGGGGAGGCGTCAGCAGCAAGCGTGGCCGGATCGGCGCGGTCGAGACCGTCGGCGGCCTCGATGTCGGTCTTGAGGCGGGCAAGGGCGGCGGCGCGCTCGTCAGCAGAGGCAGCGGCTCGCTCGGCAATGGTCTTGTCGAGCGCGGGCTTGTAGTCGGCGTAGTACTCGGCACGGGCGGCGGCAAGGGCCTCGAACAGCTCGGGCATGCCCTCCCCAGTGACGGCCGAGACGCCGACGGCGGTAAAGTGGTTGTAGAACTCCTCCAGCACCAGCGACATGGAGCGAACAAGCTCCGACGACATCGACTCGTGGGCAAGGAGCTCCTCCTGGAAGGCCTCAAAGTCGGTCATCCACGAGATCGGCTTCTCGGCGTCGACAATGTCGGCCTTGTTGAACGCCATCACAAACGGGAGCTTGGACTTGTACAGGATGGAGCAGGCGTAAAGCATGTTGGACATGAACGTTGCCGGCGCCACCGTCCGCGGCGTGTCCACCACATACAGCAGGACCGTGGGGAATGAAGCCGCGAGGGTAGTGGTGATGATAGAGCCCGAGGCCGACCAGGTGAAGACCTCGATCTGCCCCGGCGTGTCGATGAACACATTCTCGAGCTTCTCCTTCGACTCGAGGAACGAAAGCACCTGATCAAACCTAGTGGCAAAGAGATTGAGCGAGGTAAGAATGCCTCCGTTAGGACCGAGACCATACTGCTTCATCACCTCTTTGTAGTTGACCGTATCACGGATATCAATGTTGACGCCATAGGGAACGTTGGCCACGGCCGGATCCAGATTGATCATGTACCCATCGACCTCCTTCTCATGCATATACGCATTGATTCTCTATCCCCATTCACATAACCATGTCCACACCCATAACCATGACCATAACCATGACCATGACCATTCATAAGTCATTCCATGCCCATACCCACCCCCACCCACTCATCCATCATCTCGCCCAGCCATCATGCCCCATCCACACACGCACACACACACGGGCATACAAGCACACACACACACACACACACACACACACACACACACACACACACACACACACACACACACACACACACACACACATGTACCTACCTGAAGAAGGGTTGTCTTGCCAGAACCGGCCATGCCCACAACAATGCATGTCGTCGGCTGCTGCCCGTCGTCGGTCGCCATCAAGTCGCCTTGGGGAGTCGGGTGCTGACAGAGTGGTGGTCTTGGTGGCTGCCGCCGGGTGGAGGTACCGGTTTGTGGCTGTGGCGATGGCGAGCGCGACGGCTGGAGGCGATGGCTGAAGGCGGCGATGGTGAGTCATGATGTCGGCATCGGCCACAGTCACGACGATTTCCCTCGTGTCAGCCAACTTAGTCAACTTGGTAAGGGTGGCGGGAAGGGGGAGGGAGGGATTGATTTGATGGGAGGTGGCAGACGGACAAGAGGGTGTGGTGCGTTGCTACGAGCCCATAAGGTGCGAGGGATGGCGGGTGATGGATGAGGAGGCAGTTGGGAGAACGGGCGAGCGGGAGGGCGAGCGAGTCGGCGATCTCGGCGATCGGATGAACGGGAGGGGCGTCGAGGGCTCGGGCCGCGGGCGAGTGGTCAGATCAAAATGATAGACTGGTCCAGGAGGAGGTCGCGGATGGGCTTGAAGGGCAGAAGGTACAACTCGCCCTCCTCCAGATCCACCGACGAGTCCTGATCGAGCTGAAAGGTGCCGATGGTGTCGACGACCTTGCAGAAGACATGGGTATCAAAGTTGGGCGCCGGAATCATGTCGTCTTCTGCATCCTGGGTAGTCAGATCACGGAGCTTCTCCGGGAGACCGTGGAGGAAGGAGTCGGGTGCTGACAGAGTGGTGGTCTTGGTGGCTGCCGCCGGGTGGAGGTACCGGTTTGTGGCTGTGGCGATGGCGAGCGCGACGGCTGAAGGCGATGGCTGAAGGCGGCGATGGTGAGTCATGATGTCGGCATCGGCCACAGTCACGACGATTTCCCTCGTGTCAGCCAACTTAGTCAACTTGGTAAGGGTGGCGGGAAGGGGGAGGGAGGGATTGATTTGATGGGAGGTGGCAGACGGACAAGAGGGTGTGATGCGTTGCTACGAGCCCATAAGGTGTGAGGGATGGCGGGTGATGGATGAGGAGGCAGTTGGGAGAACGGGCGAGCGGGAGGGCGAGCGAGTCGGCGATCTCGGCGATCGGATGAACGGGAGGGGCGTCGAGGGCTCGGGCCGCGGGCGAGTGGTCAGATCAAAATGATAGACTGGTCCAGGAGGAGGTCGCGGATGGGCTTGAAGGGCAGAAGGTACAACTCGCCCTCCTCCAGATCCACCGACGAGTCCTGATCGAGCTGAAAGGTGCCGATGGTGTCGACGACCTTGCAGAAGACATGGGTATCAAAGTTGGGCGCCGGAATCATGTCGTCTTCTGCATCCTGGGTAGTCAGATCACGGAGCTTCTCCGGGAGACCGTTGAGGAAGGACTCGTTGAGATGCTCCGCCATGAGATCGACGTATCTCTGAGTGTACTCCAGCTCTGCCGGCGAGAGCCTTGTGCGGACGACGGGATTCTTGAGGATGTACATGCAGAACTTCTCGATCTTCCTCAACCTCGTTCGATAATAGCTTCTCAGCAAGTACTTGACCCTCTCGAGCTCCAGTTGCTTGAGTCGGGTCATAAAGGTAGCCCCGTCATCCAGTTCCCCGGCCACCACATCCTCCTGCTCCTTGACGTCCTCGCTGACTCTTGCCACCAGCGCGTCTTCAAAGATGAGCACATGCGGCGAGAACTTCTCATTCAACCACGCCTGCTTCAACGCCTCAATGTCCTGCATACACACATGCGTTAGTATGTTACCTCACACACACACACTCTCTCTCTCTCCGTGTGCGTGTTCTCCATGCTCTGTACACCCCTCCCCCTCGTCCCTCCCGCCTTGGCCCTCTTGACCCCCAACACCAGCCAACGCGCCCAAAATGTAGAATCACCACACACACGGTCACTCTCCCCATGCCAGCACCCGTACACATCCACTTATTGACATATGGCGTGTATGAGAGACCAGATGGTTGGGAGAGAGAATGGGGGGTGGTCGTCGTATCCTACATACGTACATTGTTCTGCACTGCAGCTCCAGAGTGGCCCTTGAGTCCCCAGGAGCTCTGCGAGGACGACAGTGCCATGGTCGGCGAGCGGGGAGACGGGTGTCAAGGCCAGAGGCTGAGGGAGAGATCACGGCTGCTTATGGTCAGGCTTCGGCCCGAGGCCGGTGGCAAGGCAAGGGCAGTGCAGTCTAGGCATCGGATGCGCATCATGCGTCTTGCATAGAGCTGGAGTTGCACCGCGAGCTCAACTCGATGAAGTCGAGGCTGACGACGCCAGGTCGTGGTCATCAAGGCCGACGTCTGCGCTAGCACCGCTGGCCTCGCCATCGCTAGACGCAGCCTCGCCACCGCCGCCAAAGACGCCATCGGTGTCCAGGCCGGCGGCGAGTTGCTTGTGGCGGAGGAGATCAGCGTAAACCTCGCGTTCGCGCTTGCGAGCAAGGTCGACCTCGGTCTGGAGCTGGAAAACGCGGTCCTCAAGGGTGTGGAGGCGGGCCACCACGTGGTCCGGCACCGGCTGGGTCGAGAGCGCCACCAGAGTCTCGATGTCGGCAGCATCAAGCTCTTCGGCGGTCAACTCGGGCTTCTCGTCGGCAGCAGGCTCCGAGACAAGCGCCGAGGCGAGGGTTGACTCCAGGTCGGTCTCCATCTCGCGGAGTTTGGTGTAGAACGACTGTTGCTTGAGCCAGAGCGGGTTGAGCTGGAGCAGCCGATCGTTGAGGTGCTGAATCTCGGCGTCTTTGGCATCCATTTCGGAGAGAAGCGCAGCCTCTGTCTCGCGAAGCAGCGACATCTCCTCGCGGAGTTGGGCGTTGGCGTTGGTGAGCTCGCACAGCTCGGTCCGGGCATCGTCGGCGATTTGCTGGGCAAGCTCCTTCTCTTCGCGCATCTCGGCCTCGCGGTTCTGGTCCAGCACATCGCCCGAGTCATACTCGGACTTGATGAGCTTGAGCAGGTGGGCGTACGTCGGGACTCGCTCGATGATGACCTCGAACAGCTGCGAGTACACGGTCCGCCGGATCCGGCACGAGCCCTCGCTCTCGGCGCCCGAGTTCCTCAGCGCGTCGAGGAGCGCAACCTCGAGCTCGATGGCGTCGGAGCGAAAGTCGCCCGAGCTGCCGCCGGCTCCACCTGCTGTACCTCGAGAGCTCGGCGAGGCCGTCGACGGGCGCACCACCGGAGCGGTCCGCGCAAACTCGTACGTGGTTGAGATCGGAATCGACTTGGTTGCTGCGCTCCGGCCGACTGCGCCCTTGGCCGTCGCCGGCCGGCGAAAGCCTGAGACTGTGGCTGGCCGCGGTGGCGGCGCATCAACTACATACCATCGCGGCTCTGGTGGGTCCGGATTGTCGCGGAGCCACGCTTGGATCGCCGGCGTGCCGCTCGACACGGTCTCGCCGCGCTCGTTGCGAAAGACAAAGGTCGGGTCGTCGGCCTTGGCGCTGCTCCCATCGCCAGGACTTTCGCCAGCCGGGGCCACGCTCCGCAGTGGCACGTCGCCGTCCGAACGGCGGGCTCGTGCTGGAGACCACTGCTTCCGGTGGTGTGACATGACCGATGCCGGCCGCCCAGCAGCAGCGCCAGACGACCTCGCCCCTGCTGTGAGGGCCTGCGAGGCGGTTGTTGGGCGGGCCGGCTCGATTCCTGGCGACGCCTCGCTCTTGCCTGGCGACAGCCGCTCGGAAAGCAGCGCTCTGGTGGCGGCTAGGGCCGAGGACACCCGCTTGGGCTTGGAGCTCTCAAGATAGCCGATCGAGCTTCCGCTTCCAGCTAGCGTCATCTTTCTCGACCGCGCCGCCGCTGCTGTCTGTGGACGACCTCTTCTCTTCCGGGCGCTCCCCGGCGATCGGCCACTTGCCAGAGAAGCATCATCCTGATCCCGACCAGGCCGCCGACGACGTCGGCCAGGACTCTCGCCCGTGCCTGGCCGAGATCCGACCAATCCATGTGAGCTTGACCGCGACATCCTTTCCCTTCGAGTCGATCCAGGTGAGCTCACAGCCCGTTCTCCGCTCCCGCCACTCGTACTCGGCCTCTGTCTTGGCCGCGTCGACTCGCCCGTCGTACTCCTCAGATAGGCAAAGGCGCCCGACGTCGGTGGCAGCGGTGACGACGGCGTAAGCCGTGCGGCTGCCCCAGATACAATCAGCCCACTGCTGCTGCTGCTCTCTACCTCGGTCATGGTCAAGACGGTCGGTGAGTAGAGCGGTGTCGGCCCTGCCCGAGCCCCGTGGCTTGTCACCCTAGCCTGTGGCTTGTGGCCGTTTGGCGCCGCTGACCGCGCCAACTTTTGGCTCTTTTTGTGACCTAGCTAGCTTACAATACAGGGTGCTGTGAGCTGTAGGGGGGTGATCGGAGATCATAAAGGGGTGCAAGAGAACGGCAAGAGAGTAGGGAGTGGAAAGCGCGAAGGGGAGGGGAGGGATGGGGAGGGATAACCTATGGATGGGATGGAAAGTCTCTGCAGCAGGGTGGGTGAGGGAGGATCAGTTCGCGATCACAAAAATGCTACCGCACGCACGTGGAGATATGCGCTGCAGTATCTGTGAGATCAGGCGATTTGGCTCTTCAGCTTGTGTGACGACAGCAGCAGTCCACAACAAGCACTCTACCACGGATCAACTTTGGTTTAAGAGTTGTGACATGATCGTTGCGCTTTTCTTGATGCCCATCGCTCGGTCCAATCGTTCCCATTGTCCCGTTCCCGTCCATTGTTTCGTTCGTTTCGCTCGTTCGTTTCGTTCGTTCGTTTCGTTCGTTCCTTTCGTTCATTCGTTTCGTTCGTTCGTTTCGTTCGTTCGTCGAAGCCATGCCACATACAGCTCCCCCTTCCTTCCCCCCCTCCCCCTCTCCCCCCTCTCCCCTACCGCACCTCCACTTGCCCGACGCGGACAACTACAGCCACTCACTCCACCCCAAACACCACCTCGACGGCAGGAACATGCCACGGACACGGTGTTCCATCTTTCGGAATGAGGAGGGGGCCACAGGCTATGTATGACCAACCGTACATGGGGGGAGTGGGGGGGGGAGGGAGGGTGGGGAGGGTGGGGAGTGGGGGGGGAGGGAGGGAGGGTTATGGACGTCGTGTTGTGTGTATGTGTGTGTGGGGAGTGCGCATGCATGGGCATTGGTTTGGTTATTTTAGAGATGGTGGAGTCGGGCAGCTGTGTGTGGCTCACCTTTTTTGTGCTCTCTCGTGCTCTTGATCGGATGATGGCGATGGCGGTTGTAGTTGGTGGCGGTGCCTGAGACGATGGAGGAGCTGTTGGCCAAGGCGACGAGCAAGCTGGGCTTGACTCATCCGACAACGTTGTACATGGATACGGGGGCGATCGTGGACGAGACGGAGCTCATCGACAACAATGATGTGCTGTATGTGGCCGAGAACAACGAGCCGTTTTTCAAGCACGCCAAGTCGGGCTCGTCCACCCCACGCGACGTGGCGATGCCGGGTGAGGGCGCCGAGACGCCACGGGTTGTGACGCCGCGGGTTGTAACGCCGCAGGCGGTCTCGCCGCCGTCTGCATCCATCCATCAGAGCGAGGTCAGGCGTGGGAAGGAGGTGGAGGAAGACGATGATCCAGACACGAAGGAGACAGTGGCTGCGGTGGAGGCGACTGCGGCTCTTCAGCCCGCCGCCGAGCTGGAGCTCCTGCGGAGTCGCGAGGAGAAGCGCGTGGAGCGGACGGCTGCGGCAGAAAAGGCGCAGGCGGTGGCGGAGCTGCTGAATGCGTCTCGGCGGGCGACGCAGGCGGCGGACGAGTTTGGCGAGCAGGCTGCAGCGGTGGCGGCACAGCGGGCGGAGCAGGCGGCGATGCTGGCGCGGCATGCAGACGACCGTGACGTGATCCGCAAGCTCGCAGAAGCGCAGAAGATTCGGTCGTCGGAGCTCGACGACGGCGGCAACGGTGGCAACGGCGGGAGGAACGGGCGCGATGGGTTGAGCCTGGACACGGGGAACGGCGATGGTGGCGGCGGGGCAAGCAGTGGGGCGAGCGAGATGGACCCGGACCTGATTGTGACGATCATCGGCGGCAAGTACCCGAGGCACGTGGTGGAGTGTGTGATGCGTCACACGGCAGGCTCTGCAGACACGCTCATCTCGCTCCTACTCAACGGGATCGACGTTGCCGAGTGGCTGGCCAAGGACGAGGCGCTGATGGCGGCGGCCAAATCGCCGCCGACGGTGTTTGACTGCGAGCTCTGTTTCTGCGAGTTTGAGGTCTCGCAGATGTACACGGTCGACTGCGCAGCGTCGCACCGGTTCTGTTTTGAGTGCATCGGGCGGATGGTGGAGATGAACATCCGCGAGAACACCGAGGCGGTCTGCCCCGGCGGCGAGTGCAACCATGTCATGTCCGAGATTGAGGTGATGCAGACGGTGGGCGAGGGCGAGCTGCTGACCAAGTTCCGCACCCAACAGCTGACGCGGGCCATCACCTCGATCCCGGGCGCGATTCCGTGCCCAACGGCCGACTGCACTGGGTACGAGATTGCGTCGATGCCCGGCGAGAAGGAGCGTGTGACGTGCTCGGTCTGCCGGGCAGTCTTCTGCTCTCTGTGCAAGAACCAGTACCACTACAAGTACGAGTGTGGGCAGGTACAGCAGGCAGAGCGGGCGTGGCTCGAGTGGGTGACAAGCGGGCGGCGGGCGTATCTGGACCAGCTCGCGGCGGCCGACGCCGAGTACGAGGAGCGAATTTCCGAGTTCAATGAGGCCCGCGAGGCGCACCAGCGCGAGGTCGAGGCTGCGCTGCAGCGGCTTCGCGAGAACGAGAACGACGAGGAGTGGAAGGCGGCCAACTGCCGGTGCTGCCCGTCGTGCGGCCGGGTCATCAACCGGGTCGCCGGCTGCTCGTCGATGGTGTGCGGGCGGAACTACCACGGCGGCGACAACCAGGACGGATGCGGGGCAAGCTTCAACTGGGAGACGGCGCCGGCGTATGTGCCGGCGACGTCGAGCCACATCCGGGTCGACACCGAGTTTGGCACCGAGGCACCCGAGCACTCGATCCGGACCGAGCACATCTTGTTTGCCGGCACAGATGGGACGGCGGTCCGGTTGCGGTGCGATCTGTGCCAGCAGGACATCTTTGGCCCCGAGTTTCGGTGCATCGCCTGCCCGGCGTTTGCGGTCTGCCTCCGCTGCCAGCCGCTGGCCATCGATGAAGGCTCACCGCACCGCACCCATGTGTTTGACATCATCATGGACGAGCGGACCGAGTAGCCGCCGCCGCAGTCGCAGTAATATCACACGGCTTTACGGCGAGAGGGGGAGCGGCGACGAGCGCTTGGAAGTGCGCCGGGCCTCGGCCTCGGAGGCAGCAGTATGGGCCGGCGAGCGCGACCGCTTTTTGCGGCCCATCATGCGCGCGGCACGCGAGTGGCGTGGGAGCCGAACAGGCGTCCCGTCCTCAGCGGCCGGAGCGCCGACATTGCTCGGCTGGGTCTCGAGCTCGCGCATGGCCTCGAGGGCGGCGAGATCAAAGTCGTCGTCAGCGGCGGGGTTGGCGGCAGGGCGGGAAGTCGCCGGCGGCTGGGTCTCGAGCTCGCGCATGGCCTCGAGGGCGGCGAGATCAAAGTCGTCATCAGCGGCGGGGTTGGCGGCAGGGCGGGAAGTCGCCGGCGGCTGGGTCTCGAGCTCGCGCATGGCCTCGAGGGCGGCGAGATCAAAGTCGTCGTCAGCGGCGGGGTTGGCGGCAGGGCGGGAAGTCACCGGCGGCTGGGTCTCGAGCTCGCGCATGGCCTCGAGGGCGGCGAGATCAAAGTCGTCATCAGCGGCGGGGTTGGCGGCCGAGGGGCGCGCAGTCGGCGCAGTCGAGACAGCCGGCTGTTCCGGAACGGCGCTCCACCCACCAAGGCCGCCCTCGTCACCGAAAAGCATGTTGGGTGCAATGCCATCGAGGAGGGCAGCGGCACGAATCTCTTCGGCGGTGGGCTCGGCAGCAAGGTCCATCTCTTCACGAGTCACGCCGTGCTCAGACTGGTAGCGCATGCGACTGACAAGGTCGCGGACCATGGCGTTTGAGGCGAGCTTGCGGACGCGGTCGATAAAGTCCGGAAAGACGAGCTTGGGAAAGACGTCGTGCGCCCAATCATGGTAGGCGCCAAGGAGCTTTGAGAGGTTCGCCAGCTCGTCACCCTTCTTCCGGCTCATCTTGGCACGCTTGGGAAAGTGCTTCAACACGTAGGGAAAGCCACGATCTTCGACAAGCATCTCGGCCTTGAGCGTCGGCACCTTTTTCCGCAGCCTGTTTGTTGTTCATGTAAGTACCCTGGCCCGATTGCCCGCTCCGAGCCAGAAGCCATGGCCATCCATGGTTGAGAAAAAGTCGGCGAGGTAGATTCTACCGGAAAGCGGGGGGCACCCGCACCAGCACCGCCCCCTCCCCCTCCCCCCCCCCCGGCCACACCCATGCCACATGCTGCAAACAGACATAACGTACTTGACCTGGACCTCACCATCCTCTCCAATACTCCCTGGTGCCGCTGCCACAATCTCGACCTTCTGTGTCGTCCGCTCCTTATGCTTGGACATGGCTCCGCCGGGTGACGTTGCCAGAGACGACGACGACGACGACGAGGAGGACGTAGTAGCGGCGGTGGCGGTGGGGGTGGGCATGGTTGACCGTGCTGCTGCGCGGACAACAACCTTTCCCGGCATATGTTTGTGTGTGTGTATGTGTGTGGGGTGTGTGTGTGTGTGTGTGGGGAGAGCGGTGGCGGGTGCGGCGACAGGGAGTCCTGTCCGAGACGTGACGGAGCGCGATGAGATGGGCATGGCTAGCACACCTGGCGTTGTTCACTCATCGACGTATCGATCACTGTGACACCGGGAATCGACAAGATGACAACCATGTCATTTGTTGGCCACTCTTATCAGATGGCCTCCTGCCGACCTTGTACATCAGCCTGACGGAGACCAGCCTGCTGGCCACGACGATCACTGCCCATCACCGCCCACATGTGCTTCTCCTCCGATCGGCTAACCATGGTCAGCATCCGACCTCCCAATCAAACCTTTCCTCCCATGCTCTCAAGCCTCCATCACCCCACTTTCCCGCATGTGCTTCTCCATCGTCCGAGCTCGTCACCAGCTAGCCATTCGCACCAGTTCCAGCACGTCACCGCCACCACCACCACCACCACGACGACGACGACGACGTCTACCACCGGCGCCACCTCCAACATTACCTCTCTCCCAGCCGTGCCGATATGGCCATGGCTAGTGCTGTGACTCGTGCCTTTCGTCGCATTGAGGGCGCTATCTACAAGGTATGGACGCGACATGATGACTGGGCTGGTGGGCATGACTGTCGTGAGGGGAGGTGAGATGATGGGGGGCGACATGATGGGTGTGATCGTAGTCGTGGTCGTGCCTCGTGAGCGTAGCCGCGATCGTAGTCGTGGTCGTGCCTCGTGGTCGCAGCAATGGCCGTGTCTCGTAAGCGTAATCGTGATCGTAGTCGTGGTCGTGCCTCGTGAGCGTAGTCGTGATCGTAGTCGTGGTCGTGCCTCGTGGTCGCAGCAACCATCATCTACCCACTCACACCACCCCATTCTTAGGATCCTGCAAACCGCGGCATCGGCAAGTGCTTCGTCAACGGTGCGGTTGGAGCGGCGACGACGGCTCTAATCTCGGCTCGTTCCATCCTTCTCACCACGGGATTCTTCATTGCTTCGGTCAATGCTGGCGAGAACGACGGCCCAATCGGCACGGCTGCGCTCGCCCGCGCACTGGCGGGCGCGGGGAAGGACGTCGTTGTTGTCACCGACGACCTCAACCGCCCGCTCGTCGAGGCTGCGCTCGACGCTGCCCTCAGCGAGAGTCGCTCGACAGACGTGGCTCTCGAGATCTACCCGACCCATGACGGCGGCACCGCGTCAAGCGGCGGCGCATCTCCAGAGTGCCTAGCATTCCACACCCACATCCGCGAGACGTACGCCCCAACCGTTGCGGTCGCCATCGAACGGCCCGGGCGGACGCCCGACGGTTCGTACCGCAACATGCGTGCCGGCGACATCTCAGCCGTCACCGCACCCATTGACGCCATGTTCCTCCGCGAACCAGCCTTTGGCTTTGCCTCCTCCTCGCTCACCACCATCGGCGTCGGCGACGGCGGCAACGAAATCGGCATGGGCTCGCCTGCCATCCGCGCTGCCGTCCTCGACGCTGTCCCCGACGCCGACGTCACTGCCACCGTCGTTCCCACCGACATCACCATTGCGACTGGCGTCTCCAACTGGGGCGGCTATGCCCTGGCTGCAGGCGTCGCTGCCCTGACTGCCGCCCCGGGCCTCGCCTTCCCCTCCCACCTCGATCGCGCCGCCATGGACGCCGTCAACGCCGTCGGCGGCGTCGATGGCGTCCGCGCCGCCGTCTCCATGTCTGTCGACGATCTCGACTGGCACGACCACCACAGGCCTCTCCTCGACCATCTTGTCTCCATAGCCACCGACGCCGCCCCACATCCCACCTCGGAGTGAGCGGTAGTGCCACCCAACCATGTGCCGGGCCTGATGCCGGGCCGGTTTTTTCCAACCTATGGAGCCGTAAGCCATTTTTTTTTTTGGCTTCCGGAACTTGTGCGGTTGGCGGGTGCCTGCCCCCCTCGTGGGTCAGCAAAGCGCTTCTCTCGACCCTGGCTGGAGGCTCTCCCCGGTGAGCGAGGTGGCAGACAGATCATGGCCAAAAGTAGACCATACACAAGAGTGGGACCATGTGTCATGCTTCTCAGCCTGCTCACCAGCTTGTTTGTCGCCCCGGTGGCTTCGGGCCCCTCCCCGCTCCGCCTCGCAGCAACCGAACAACGCGGCGTTGTGCCTCCAGTTGGCGGCTTCGCCTCCGGCCTCGTCTCGGCTCCCGTCCTCTCCCCTCTGCTGCAAGCTCTCCCAACAACTAATTGGACGATAGAGTCATGGCTATGGTTTGAGTCGTGGCCTCCCCGTGACCAAGCGCCCTGGTTTGCACTCGCTTCCCCGCGCGCTCCAAGCGTCACTGCCGCCCCGGCTTTGGTTGCTGTGTTTGACACAAGTGGCAATTTGGTTTTTTTCGCCGCTCCGCCTTCCGCCGCTAGCCCGTCCGCTCGCCTCCCCGACATGTCCCACAATCTCAATGGCCTCATCTCGCCGCAATCATGGGTGCATTTCGCTCTGGTCCGCGACGTCTCTGAGCGATCTCTCGCTCTCTTCATTAACGGCCGGCCCGTCGGTGAGGCCGTCGCCTTTGTCGGGCCGTCCGCCGACGTCTCCCGCGCAGCCACGCGCCTTGTCCTTACCCTCCTCTCGTCACCTTTTTCATCTGATGTCTTTCTTGGGAGCATCTTGGAGTTTCGCGTCTGGGGCACTGTCCGCTCGGCGGCTGACCTCGATGGTGCTCAGCTCACCAAGATCACCGGCACCGAACCCGGCCTCACTATATACCTTCCCGCAGACGACGGCGCCGGCTCGTGGCTTGTCGACTCCGGCCCACACGGCATGGATCTCTGGGCCTCGACCGCCGCGCCGTTTGTCGACTCATCTGACGCACGCCCTCCGCTAGCCAATCGCTCTTCCTCGGTCCTCTCGCTTGCGCACGGAAGACACTGCGTTGCAATGCCGATCGCCGAACCTGGCCTGCTCGCGGGCGATATCACCATCCAGTTCTGGCTCCGGCTCTTTGCCTTACCCAGCGCCCCTGCGCCTGCGCCCATTGTTCTGTTTGCTCTGTGCGGACATCCTGGCGGTGGGCCACCCGCTAACTGCCTCGCTGTCCTCGAGCTCGCCATTGATGGCCTCGCGCTAACAATGGAGTCTGGCAACGGATCAGCAACCCGAGTGGTGTTTGCAGGCGCCGTCGATCACTTTGCGAATGGTCTCGGAGCCTGGCACCACGTCGCGCTCGTCCGCTCGTCGCCGCTTCAAACCGCCACACTCTTTTTCGATGGTGTGTTGGTGGCAAACGCTTCCTGGCAAGCCTCGGTTGTCGCTGATGGCGGGGAAGATGCCCAGTTGGTGCTGGGCGCATTGCCCAAACGGCCACACCCAGCCTTGCAGCACTTTTATATGGCCGAGCTTCAAGTTTGGTCCCGTGTACGCTCTCCCGCAGACATCGCTCAGTCGATGATGCGTGCCGGCCCGCCGGCGCCGTACCCACCCTCTCTTCATGCCATTTTCCACTCTCATCGCCAGCACCTCTCGGCGAGCTCGTGGATGCCACCGGGCAAACACCAGCCGCGACTACCCAGCCTCCGGCCTTTGCGCGTCCATCGACTGTCGTGTCGTGGAACTCTGGCCTCTCCTCGCCCCTTCACAGGTCGTTCAAGCTTGTCCACGCTCCTCCGCCGCCTTTCTCGCCCGAGTTCCCGCGGCTGGAGCCTTCGCCGTCGCCTTCGCCGTCATCGTCCATCTTGCAGCCGCGGCTCGTCGCCGCCGTTGCCCACGACCCCGGCTATGACGACACCGAGATGTCCGAGGGCGACACGCTGACACTCCAGTTTTCATCCGCAACTCACGCACCGCGAGTCGGCTCAGCGGCTGCACTCGACGATCTGCTCACCTGCACAACGCCGCCAGCGCTTCCGCACATGCTCTCAGGCTGCCTCGGCAGTCAACTGACCGGAGCGTGGTCGAATGACAACATGACGCTCACCATCACGCTTGGCCCGCAGCCCACCCCCTTGGCGCGGTGCCGGTGCCCGGATGGACGATCTTTACGCCGCGGAGCGCCAAGGCCTTTGGCGGCCCAGCGTCGGACTCGCCAGTGCTCTCCGGCTCGTGGGGCGCAACCCGGGCCAGCGTCGATGTCATCACCTCCGACCACGGCGTGCGGCCAACTTCGATTTTGGCCATCAATGAGGGCACAAGCGTCGTTCTTCTTGTCCAGCTCAGCACGCCGCCTTCGGCAGCCGTCGTTGTCTCGCTTGAGCTCGACCCAAGTGCCAGACCGCTGCCACCGCGTATGCCACATCTCAAGCTCCTCACGCGGACGCTGGTCTTCGATGCAGGCAACTGGAACATGTTCCAGCGGATCATTGTCGAAGCGCCGAAGGACGAGTTTGCCGGCGAGGCGCCGGCACTTGTGGCGCTACTTCTCAGTGTGGCCTCGGCCGACGCTAGCTACATGGCCCTAGCCTCGGACGTCGGGCCCAACGTGGTTTTCTCGGTCACCGACACGACTGTGCCCGGCATTGTGCTTGATCCACTCGCGCGGCCGCCGGACACGCAGCCGCCGATCGGAATTGATAGCACGAGCAGCGTGGTGACTCAAGCCGGCCATGCTCTTTGCACCCGCGTGAGTCTTGTTGCGGCGCCCTGGCTTGCGGATCGTGGGCGCTCGCCGCGGGTCCGCCTCTCACTGGCGGCGTATGTGCCGACTGTTGTGTCCGACGGCATCATCGGCATCGCGGTCAACATCATGCCCGACGCGCTACCGCACCCCCGGTCCATGTCACGTGGGAGAGCGCCACGAGAGTTTTGTCAACCCGGCTTGTTCGCGACGCTGTTGTCAACTTTGGCTACACCGCCGATGTCGGCGCTGGCGTTGCGAGCTGGCGCCACGGCGTCCAAGTGTGCGTGTTGGCGCCGGCCGAGACGGCGCTCTTCAACCCGCTTTCGGCGTTCCTTGTCGGGACGCTCGAGGGCATCGGGACCGACTCGAACGGATACAACGCGGTCGAGAGCGACTTGCGGGAGGCGGCGGGCTTCACCGTACTGCCGGTGGCGTGGCCGTCGGTGGCAGCAACCCGGCCGCGGGTGGCGGCGCTCAGCGGCGCGCAGATCACGCTCATCGGCAACCACCTCACTCCACACATGGAGCTGAGCGTGAGCGACGAGCTGCATCCGGTAGTTCGTGGCAATGTCTCGGGCGACGGGGGCGCGGGCAGGGAGCTCACCTTTGTCACGCCTGCGGTTGGCAATGGGTCGGCGTACCGTGACGTCACAGTCCGCGACGGTCTGACTGGCGCGTTTGCAGTCTACCCTGATCTGTACTTTACGAACGACTGCCCGTACGAGGGCGTCTTTGGCCGCAAGAACGAGTGTTTGGCTTGCCCACACGGTGCTGTCTGCCCTGGCGGCTACCGGCTCTGGCCGCAGGCCGGTTACTGGAACAGTCACGAGAGCGCCGGATTTGTCACCCGATGCTCGGCGCCGGACGATCGGTGCCACGGTGGGAGGCACTCGCGATGCGGGGCAGGCTATGCCGGCCGCGCTTGCGCGATCTGCGCCGGCGGGTACTTTGAGATTGGAGCGACGTGTGTGCGTTGCGGAACGGCGACAATGCTGCTAGCAGCGGCACAGCCGCTGCTGTGGGTGGTGTACATGGTGATCCACGCCGTGGCGCGCGACCGGACGTTAACAGCGTTGACCCAGGCCCAGCTGAGCATGCTCGGTCTGTACCTGGTTGGCCGGTACGCAGTCGGGCTGCTGTCATCGTCGATGACCAACGTGTTTACCGTCCTCGGCGTCCTTGTCTTGGATCCATCCGCGGTCCGGCCCGAGTGCCAGGTCGCCATTGTGTCGCGGTCAATATCGCTCGTTCTACCAATTGTCGCCTCGTGTGGCCGCGCATTCACGCTTGTTGCCATGCACCTTGTACTCGCCAGAACCCTGCCTCATCGACGCACGTTTTACGTGCGGCGGCTTACTCGGTCGCTATGCCTCTTTGGTATGTTGGCGTATGGTCGAGTTGTGGAGGCCGCAGTCAGCACGATGCTGTGCACCCGGGCACAAGCCGAGCATGGACGGGGAGTGTGGGTCCTCGCCTCTGCGCGCGACGTCGAATGCGGCGCGACGACCCATACACCGGCGCTGGTCATTGGAGTGGCGACGGTTGTCGGCTACGGACTTGGATTTCCACTGTGGATGGCGGTCACGCTGCGGCGACTGGATCGAGTCGGACGGCTCTCGCTCATTCTTGCTCTTGCACCGACCGAAAATGCTTCGCCGCTGTCGTCGCCGACGACGCCGTCGGTTCAAGAGGCGACCAAGGGCCGGTCACGATCACCGACAGTTGGGTTTGGTGGCGCGGTGGTGTTGGCGGGGCGAACGCCACGGTGGTCACACCGGTCGTCGCACTCGCGGTCGCGATCAGCGTCGCGATCACGCGCAATTGTTTCGGTGTCAAGCTCGAGGTCGTCGATTGGCCAGGGTAGCCCGAGCGCGTTCTCAAAGTCGTCGTCCAAATCGTCCAAGTCGTCAACATCGACATCGGTACCACATGACAGCAGCTTATCATCGGCGTCGGTCTCGAGCTCGGAGAGCGAGAGCAGCTCGTCAAGGAGTGGGTCACCGACGAGTGCCACGACGAGCCCAACGACAGGAAGCTCGTCAACATCATCAAGTCCAAGCACTGGGACGAGGTCGTCAAGCCTTGACAGCTCGTGCACCGAGCGGCGCCAGCGTGGCTACTACTTGGCAAGCGGGTCGTCGCTCTCGGCCTCGTCAGCCGCGCCCGAGTTTGCGAGCAGGCCACCCGAGTTCGGCTCGAGCGGATCGCTCGCGGCTGGGCTCGGCTCCGAGTTCTCAGAACAGGCGGAGGAACTAGACGGAGTCGAGGCGGAGTATGCAGACGGAGTCATGCCTGTCGTATACATGCAACAGCTGCATGCCATGAACCATGGCATCGATCTGCCGTTTGCGGGAGAGAGCGAGAATGAGGAACTAAGCAACGATCCCGAGACGGCAATCAACACCCGGTTCAATGCATCGTTGACGACCCGCAGCGAGCTCCCAATTGTGGCCCGACGGACGCCGTCTCCGCTGGACGAGTTGATGGCCACTAGCAGCAGTCGCGGCGAGCTAGAGCTGGCCGGCACTCTGGGCATCAAGTCGGAGCGGGCGCGGTATGGATGTCTGTTTGAGCTCTTCCGCTACCGCAGCAGGTATGGAGCCGTGGCCGAGATGTGTGAGGTATTTTTCTTGGCGGCGACCCTTGCAGTGCTTGGCAACGCGCCGTTGGCGCAAGCATGTGTTGGCGGAGGCATGTTGTTGATGGGAGCAATGTGCTGGGCGGCTGCGCGGCCGTTTCCGTCGGCGAGTGGCAACACGATCGAGTTCGGGATGCGGGTGATGGGCGCGATTGTGGCTGGTCTCGGCCAGGCGGTCCGCTGCGGGCCACTTGCCGAATGGCGCGGTGCGGTGAGCGACTCGGTCGCGCTCTGCCTGCTCGGCGGCGTGCTCGGCGGATCCGTGGTCGCGGGCTGCTGGGCGGTACGGAGCCACGTGAAGCGCAACAGCGGCGACAACGGCGACACGAATTTGTCGAGCGCCAGGACAGCTCCAGGAGGCACGAGCATGGAGTCAATGACAGGGAGTGAGGGGCGTCAGTCGCTGGCCATGCTCTCACAGTCCCAGGCACAGGTGCGCATCTCGGACGTGCACTTGCTGCCGCGCGTCTCGTCTCTAGCATCGGTGCGGAGCAACGGGTCGTACTCGTCAGCTGGTACGCCGACCTCACAGCGGTCGCCAGCCAAGGCGGGTGGAGTAGGGCGGGGCCTGTCGCGCGTCGTGTCGTCTACCGAGATATCGATGTCGCGGTCACGCACATCGTCACGGATCATGGTGCCGGGTACCGCCTGTGAGTTCGGGGAGCAGATGCTGTCAGAGCCGATGGATGCCGGCGCGGCGCCAAAGAGCATGATGGGATCGCGAAGCGAGCCGCGGCTGGTGCGGATGGTTCGCGAGTCGCGGATGCAGCGAGCGAGGGCATCGCCTAGAAGCGGGCGGACGTTGTCGGCGTCTGAAGGCGTCCAGCGGTTGTCAATGCAGACATCCCAGACTCGCCGCAGCTTGCGCAAAGCGCTCAAAGCGGTGGCTGGGCCGAGGAAGACTCGATCGCGTCCGGCGTCGCCTACGGCTGCCGCGTCGCTGACATCGCCGCAATCGCGTGCGACATCGCCGGCATCCCCGATCGAAAGCCGGCGGCGGATCTCGTTCTCGCCCTTGGCTCGCGACGTGGAGTCGCAGTCACGCAGCCGCAAGGCGTCGCGGTCCCAGTCTCGCTCTGGGTCGGGCTCGCGATCGCGCCAGCAAGCACTCAATCCCGTCTCGCTCCCCAACTCTCGATCGGCATCACCGGTACGAATGGGTCTCGGTGTTGATGATGCACAGTTGTAATGTTTAGAATAATAGCTGATGGGAGTGGTTCATGGCCGTCGAGGCAGAGCGAGCAGAGAGCGCGAGGATGGGGCTGGGGCAATCGACAATGCTCATGGCTGATGTATGAGTAGTATGGAATGTGATGGCCGTGTGATGTAGGGTGTCGGGGTCGGGGATGAGGATGTAGGCGAGCTAGAGCGAGTAGGGTGGGGCCGGGGGCCGGAATGAGTGTGCGTCGGCGGGGGCGCTTTGGTACCCGGTCACTCGACTCGCAATTTGAGCCGCCGTTCGTCCAGCGTTCGGCTCGTGAATGTCTTCTCAGCCGCCACCCCCGTACACGCCGAGCGAAGTGCACGAGGAGGAAGGCAGAGACGCTGCACGTGGTGATATGGCAGATGGTGAGGGTGTGTCGCGAGTGGATGCGGACGAGCTGGTGGCTACTGTGGCTGCTGAGCATCGTGGACAGCTGGCGAGGTGGGTGGAGAGCTGGCGTGCGACGGAGGTGGCTGTGGCGTACGGCACGGCGATGGCATGGAAGGAGAAGGCGCTACGGTTGCCCAAGTGGGCGCTCCCGCTCATTGTTGCTGCTGGTGATGGCATCTGCATGCGATTCAACCACACGGCTGGTCACGGCTGCACGGGCGGTGATCGATGCACGTATCGGCATGCTTGCTATCTCTGTGGGAGCGATGACCATGGGGCGTTCTTTGTCGACGACAACAACGTGAGCAAGTGCAGCATGCTCCGGGCAATTGAAGCCGGCGCGGCGGCAGTGGGCTTGCCGAAGCTTGATCTGGCGGAGGATGTGGCCGGGTATCCGCTGCGACGCGGGCGGCGGGGCCTGTGCGGTAAGATCGCGTTTGGCGGCGGGCCTGCATCGGAAAGAGCGGCAGAAGCGGCAGCCCATGCGACGGGCGCGGCGCGGGCCTGCAGCCACGGGCCGACTATGTGGTGGAGTGGCCACTGGTGCTCAAGTTGATCAAGCGGAGCAGAGCTCGGCGAGTTGTGCTTGTGGACGCAGACCACCATCGCTACATGATCGACCAGCTACTCAACCGCGAGGTGTACGAGCGTAGCTCGACGTTTGTGGTGCTATTTATGGGACACACGCTGTGGGAGACACATCGTGTACGGCCGCTGTGGGAGCGCGAGGTGTGGGGCGGGAGGCGGAAGCCGCGGGTCCCGAGCTGGGTTGTCCCGCTCCCGACGCGGATCATCAGCAAGGACGCGGCTGACACAGAGATGACAGCAGCGGCTACGCAACTTGCGCTACGGTTCCAGTCGAGCGATGCCAGGTTTACACTAGTCTCGAACGACGGATTTGTGTACTCACTGGCTCACCTGATGCGGAGCTGGTACAAGCGCGAGGTGGAGGTGCTCAACGCGTTTGACCCACTGGAGCTGGGCTTGCCTGCGGCACGTGCTGGAACGTGTTCTGTGCGCGAGTTCATGGCTGTGGCAGCGAGCGCGGCGCGGGCCGGCGAACATGCGACGACGCGGCTACGGACAGTGCGCGACGACGAGCTTGTCTCTGCGTTTGTGGCGGCGTTTCCTGCTGTGGCTGCTGACGAGTCGCGGCTGGGCCTGCTGCTGGGCGATGCACAGGAGCTGCGATGGCTGGTGCGCGTGGCGGAGGCGAGCCCGCCAAGTTTTGCGCTGACCGAGATGGGCGAGGCTGCTGTGGTTCACGCACCGTCGGACCGTGTTGGCAACGCCGAGCTTGTGGCGAGCGTGGTGCGGCGTGTTGGTGGTGGCGAAGCGGTGTCGATCACCGACGTGCGGACGGCACTGGCGGGCGAGCAGCCCGATGTGGTACACTCCATCGCGCGGAATCGGCTGTTTGTGGATGACGCACTCAACGTCGGTGCCGTCGAGCGGGTCGACTCGATCAAGCTCCGGGCTGTGGGCGAGGGTGGGCCTGGGCCTGTGCCCTCACCGTCGTCGCTGGTCGATCCTGCCGCTGGTGCAGGCGAGAGGAGACACGGAGAGCGACGACAGCGCGGGAAGAAGCCTGGTCGGGGCTACACGTGCTTCAATTGCGGAACGCATGGCGGAGGCGAGGATTCGCACTGGGCGAAGCTCTGTCCGCAACCCAAAGCTGCAGTTCCGTCGGGCGGCTACGTGTGCCAGTGGTGCTCAAGAGTCGACGAGCACTGGGCGGACGATTGCAGCGAGGGACCTAGCGCGGCATCGTCCAGCGACAATGGGCGGCGGAGCGACCGGAGTCGATCGCGTGGCGGACGGGGTCGCCGCCGGGGCCGAGGCCGAGGCCGGGGTCGTGGCTGTGGCCGTGGCGGTGGAGGCGATCGAGGCTGGCAAGCAAGTAGCTGGGAAGGATGGGGCGAGGCGATCCACGAGTGGATTCATAGCCATGGGTACGGGCATGGGCACGGTCACGGTCACGGGCACGGTCACGGGCACGGGTATGGGCACGGTCACGGGCACGGTCACGGACACGGCTGGCATGGGCGTGGTCGCGGCTGGCATGGGCGGGGGCGCGGATGGCACGGCCGAGGAAGAGGAGACGAAGGGGCAAGTGGAGGATTCGAGAATGACATTGATTGAAATGTGCAAGCCGAGAGCGATGGCGATGACTCGCACCCAGCACTGCAGTCATCGCTCCGCAACATCGTGAGCCTCGGGAGCCGTGTCGGTCACGAGCGGGGAGGGGGGGGGGGGGGGGCTTCCCACGGACACTTCCAAGGACGCAGAGACGGCACCCACTGACACGTGACTCTGGCAAGTATGAAGACAACTAGGGTGGCGGTGGTTGCTATGGCACTTGCACTTGTGCTTGTGAGCAAGAGCGCGTACGGACGGCTTCAGTGCATGGGCGAGGGCGGCAATGCGGTGGACTGGTGGGCAGCGGTGAAGACACCCATCGAGTCTGCTTCCAACGATCCCAACGTGGCGACGGGAACGGCATACGCCTACACGGATGCTGTGATGAATGCAAAGTCGCTGGTTCTCACCGGCGAGTCGCTGGCTACCGACAAGTCGTCATCGCTTTGGTCGACACTGGCCCAGGTCTATGGCTCGTCGCAGAACTCTGTCGGCTACATGATGTTCAACGATGAGACGCCATCAGGCGCCAAGTCGGGTACCAAGGCTCACCAGAAGGGCGTGGTGGCGTTTGATGGCGATGGAGGCTTTTGGCTCATTCACTCGGTCCCGCGTTTCCCCAACACGTACGCCGATGGCTACGAGGGCTTCCCCGCAAACGAGGACAAGTACGGGCAGAGCTTCCTCTGCATCTCGTTCTCGCTCAGCTCGATCAACGATGTTGGTGCCCTGCTCTACATGTCTCGGCCGAACGTTTACGACTCGAACCTCCCGTCGTCGTTCAACCTGCCGAACATCGCTGCTGTCATTGCCGGCGACTACAACTCGACTGCCGGCTACGTTGTCAAGACCATGACCTCGGTCGGCGGCGCCCAGTTTACTGCCTTTTCCAAGAACCGCCAATGGGACATGGATCTGTACGAGGATCTCGTGGCGCCGACTCTCGGCTCGGACCTGTACGTGGAGAGCTGGCAGAACGGCGTGGGCAAGCTCCCGACCTACTGCCGCCCACAGTACCCGTACAACGTGTACAACATCGCCACCATGGCTGTCGGCACGCCGTCTGGCGGCGAGATCATGTGGAAGGAGACCCAGGACCACTCCAAGTGGGCCGTCACCGTCACCGATCAGTTTGTTTGCATTGGCGGCATCAACCGGCAGCACGGCCAGCGGGTTCGCGGCGGCGGAACGCTCTGCCACAACTCGCCGTCGCTCTTTGCCGCTTTTAACTCGTCGATCCAGACCATCGAGCCGTGCCAGTAAGATGACGAGCGGTGTGCGCTCTGCGGGTAGCGCAGGAGCAGTCGCTGCGTTTTCCCCATCCGCGCGTTTGCCTGTAAATGTTGCGCCGCTTGCTGTTTACTCGTCGCCGGCCTCGTCGCCGGCCACCATGTCTGCGCCCGCCTTGCGCGTGAGGGTGAAGACCACGATCTCGCCCGAGTCCTCAAACGAAGTGGCGTGGACAGGAGTGTAGTCAAAGTGCGGCGCCATGAGCTTCTCAAAGTACGCGTCGGTGCCCGGCCAGCGGCGCTCGTGGCAAAAGAGCAGCTGCGGCGGAGTCGGCCCGCTGGTCAGCGCCAGCAGCGTGTGCTGCAGCTCTTTGAGCGCTGTGTACGTCACATCTGTGCCGAGGATGAGGTCAAAGTCACCGAGAGCAGCGAGCTGGTTGTCGCCGTCCGGGCCCCAGTCGAGCTGGGCGGCGCTCACGCGATTTTGGAGCTTGTTGAGAGCAATCTGGTCACGTAGCATTGCGATGGCCGGCTCCTGGTCGGTGAGCACGACGGTTGCGCCGAGCGCCGCCGCCACCATGCCGGTCAGCCCGGTGCCGGAGCCAATCTCGAGCACCGACTTGCCTTCGAAAGCGGCGCTGCCCATGTCGGTCACCATGTACTCGCAGAGAGCACGGGCGGCGTTCCAGATAACACCGGCCACATGATTCTCGCCATCAAGCGTCGGCCGCCGCTCGATGGAGATGACCACCGGCTCGGACGCGTCTTCGCCAAAGGCGTAGGGAAAGACGCCCGGCGAGGCATCGACTGCCCCACGGATCGAGCCCGATCCTGACTTGGGCATCGGTCCACCCTCGTACAGTCCCGAGTAAACGCTCTTGTCGGGATTGACAAATCTCGGCGAGAAGACGGCGGCGTCCGACCCAGTCTCGCCACCATCGACGACATACCCGATGACCTGCGGACTCCTGGCGGAGCGGAGGAAGGAGCTGCCGTATCCACCCATACCTCCATACGGCATGATGTGGGGCAGAGTCTGGTAGGCCTGCATCTGATGCGCAACATGATTCGAATGATGATGTTGTTGAGGGTGATACCGGGCAGATCCATAGCTGTACCCGTAGCCGTGGCCGGGAGCGGCAACTGATGCGGAGGAGCCCCTGAGGCTGCCGCGGTTTCGGCGACTCGCGTGCGACGACCAATGCGACGGCGTGGCGTTGGCCATGTGCATGTTTCTCCATCCATACCCAGATGCAGCGTAGTAGAACATGTCGTCTAACGCTCGTGTGGAGGGGTGGAGTGGTTGTCGATGAGGTGCGAGCCAGTGGGATGTGGGGGGGGGGGGGGGAGGGTGGTGTCGGGCGGTGGTGTTGCAAGTTTCCGGCGTGACGGGTGAATGACATCACGCGTCACGGCGACTGCAAACGTTAGGAGACCAAATATTTTGAAGGGTCAAGAAGCACAAGCTGTCATGCTGACTAGTCTTCGTACGAGAACGACGGCACGGTGGCTGGCTTGCGGCGACGGACGCGGCGGCGGCGGCGCAAGCGACGGTGTCGTGGGCGTAGAGGCGTGCAGGATGAGGTTGATGAGACAGCGAGGGAAAAGCCATGCGATGATGATGAGGCGGTCGGCGGCGGCGAGGATGAGGAAGGCGACGACGACGATGACGACGACGCGGCCGCCGACGACGACGATGCCGGGGTCATGGAAGAGAGGGTCGACGCAGGAACGGGCGGCGAGCCACTGGAGAGTAGTGCGTGGAGGTGTGCATTGTCAGCGGCCCACTCGAGAGGCGACTCACCCGTGTTGGACGGGGCGTGGATGTCTGCGCCGGAGGCGAGGAGCACCGCGGCCATTTCGAGGTGGCCGTTGTCGGCGACGTAGTGCAGCGGGGTGAGACCGTGCATGTTGCGGGCGTTGACGTCTGCGCCTAGGCCAAGGAGCGCCGATGCGATGGGGACGTGATTGTCAAGGGCGGCAAAGTGAAGGGCTGTGCCGACGCCCGGCGGCGCGTCACAGCGTGCGTGGACATCAGCTCCAAGCGAGAGGAGGACTTCGATCTCGTCCTCGTTGTTGCGACCGGCGAGGAGGCCGACAAGTGCGTAGTGCAGCGGCGTGGCGCCTGTCTCGTCAGACGCGTTGATGTCACGTTCGCATATACGGCCGCCCGAGAGGAGCATAGCTACGATGGCGTCACGGTTGCGACCGACCGCGAGGTGGAGAGGGGTGAGCCCGCCATGGCCGGCGGCAGTTGCGGGCGCACCGGCCTCGAGCAGCAGTCTTACGAGAGGCACCGACCCGAGCTCCACAGCGGCATGTAACGGAGTGTCGCCCTGGCTATCACGCGCGGCGACATCAGCACCGGCACGGACGAGGTCCGTGGAGATGGCCTCCATGCCGGCGCGGACGGCAGCGTGGAGCGGGGTGGCCCCGGTCGACGCCAGCCGCGGCGAGACCTCGATGGCTGGCTGGGCAAGAAGGGCCAGGACCACGTCGCGGGCGCCACCGTCGACTGCCCAGTGCAGTGGGGTAGCGCCGTGTGCAGTGGTAGCGTTGGGCGCAATGGCAGGATGTGCGAGGAGGAGAGCAGCCACATTGGCATGGCCCATTTCGGCCGCCCAGTGGAGGGCGGTGACGCCCTCTTCGTCAGGTGCGTTGGGATCAGCGCCGAGGCCGTTGGTGTCAAGAGCACGCTTGACAACATCGGCGCGTCCTTCAGCAGCGGCACGCCGGAGAGCGGCGTGGATCTCGTCGGTGGGCGCAGCGTCCGCGGCAGCAGCAGCGGCAGTGTACGAGACTTGGGACCTGCTCAGCAGCGCTTGAACATCTGGGCGCTTGGCGTATTGATCCGGCGTGTTGCCGAGTGCATCACGGGTGTTTGGTGACGCGCCGGCGTCAAGCAGAGCGGCGACCGCCCGGGTCTGCGACTCAAAGACCGCCAGATGGAGAGCTGTCCGCCCGTCGGAGTTGACTGCGTCAGGAAAGGCACCAGCAGCGAGGAGGGAGTGGACGAAAGAGTCGAGGCCTCCACCGGCGGCCCACATCAGCGCGGTCCACCGTGCGTTGTCGGGCGCGTCGACGGCGACTCCGTCCTGGGCTAGCAGCGCATCAAGCATGCCAGCGGCAGCGGCACGGTGTGTGAGCGATGGGGCAGCCATCCGGGCGGTGACAACCCAGTGGATCGGCGCTGAGCCGTCGGGCGCACGAACATTGGGCGAGACGCCCGCATCGAGGAGGGCGACAAAGGTTGCGAGCTCGCCGGCATCGACTGCGGCTCGCAGTGCAACAGCGCCCGAGCCCTCGAGTTTGGGCGCGAGGAGTTTGAGCATGGCCGAGACGCGCGAGTGCAAGTAGCTCAGAGGAGTGGCCAAAGTCCGGTCGGTGGTGCTCGGGTTGGCACCAGCCGCCATTAGCGCGGCGACGGATGGAACGTGTAGATGAGCAGTAGCAGCGTGGAGCGGGGTGCGGCCGTCGTTGTCGGCATCGCTCACGGAGGCACCGGCCTGCAGCAAAAGGTCAACCACTTGTGTGCGGCCCTCGGCAGCAGCGAGGCTGAGCGCAGTGCGGCCGTCGTGGGCGCGGGCGGCGGTCGACGCGCCGTGTGCAAGAGCCTCGGTCACGATGTCAGTGTGACCAAAGTACGCCGCCCAATGGAGCGCAGTGAAGCCGGCGGCATCGACGGCGGCGAGCGCCAGTGTACGGTCGTTGGCTGTTGGCGCTGACGCCAGGCAGGTCTTGAAGGCGAGAGTATCGCCAGCCCGGGCAGCGTCAAGCGCCGACGAAGTACCTACGCTCGAGCCGAGTCGAACTGCACCCGACTCGGGCGCCAGCAAGAGCGAGATCGACTCGGCCTCTAGCGCGGCAAGGTCAGCTGGAGTCTGGCCAGCAAGATTCGGCACGTCTGCGAGGAGGCCGGCATCGAGCAGGAGCTGGACTAGGGCAGCCTTGGGCTTGGTCGGCGATGGCGCTGCCGCCATGTGGAGGACCGAGTTGCCGCGGTGGGTAGCAATGTCGATGCGGACGTCAGCATCGAGAAGGGCGGCAACAACGTCGAAATGGCCCTCCCACGCCGCCATATGGAGCGGCGTCCTGCCGAGATTATCAGGCGCGTTCTTGGCGTACTCGGCGCTACCGACCGATGCATCGAGGAGCAGCCGAGTTGCCGGCAGGTGGCCGGCGGCGGCGGCGAGGTGCAGCGGCACAACGCCGGCATGTGAGACGCAATTGACAGTAGCGTGATGGCCGAGCAAGTAGTCGAGGACATCGACGTGGCCGCCGCTGGCGGCAAAGTGCATGGCGGTGACGCCGTCGGCATCAGCCACACCGCAATCGACATGCTCGACCTCGACGAGGCTGCGAACGACGTCAAGGGCACCAACCTGTGCAGCCGACCACAGGCGAAACTCGGGCGAGCCAGCATCAGCGCCAAGCACGTTCCGGCGACTAGTATCGGCGTCCGTGAGCTCGCGACCGAGCGCGGCAGCGAGAGCATCTCTCTGCTTCACGCCGCCGCGCAGGGCGCAGTCCATGGGAGAGGCACCATCAGCGTCCCGGACACGCACATCAGCACCAGCGGCAATGAGCCGGGCAACAACATGAGACGCACCTGCAAATGCAGCTGCATGGAGAGGGGTACGGCCGTCCGAGTTGCGGGCATTGACGTCGGCGCCAGCAGCGATGAGTGCGTCGACGATGAGATGCGAGTGTGGATGCTTTGAAGCGGCAGCGAGATGAAGAGGAGTAACACCAGCACGAGATGGTAGAGACACATACGCCCTCACCACAGGATACTGTAGCAGTGTCGTGACCAGATCATGTCCTCCATTCCCGGTCGATGCCCAGTGGAGGAGGCTCAATCCGTTGGCGTCCTTGGTTGCTGCTGCAGATGGGTGAGTAGAAAGGATTTGTGAGACTCGCCCAAGGTCGCCGGCTTTGGTGGCATTGAGTGCTGCGAGAGAAGCCATGGACGGTGGTGGGGTGGGGTGAAGTGGAGTGGTAAGGGTGTGTGTGGTTGGTGTGGCGGTGGTCGGCTGGCGGGCGGCAGGCGAGAGCGGGTGGACAGCGTAGCGTGTTTGGGGTTTACAAGCTACGCGTTGGTGAGGGTACCGAGGACGGCAAGGAAAGAAGTCATGAGCTGGCCATTCGAGGTGAGAAGGATGATGGGTGGGGTGGACGGCGCCTTGATGAGCACCTTGTGCTCGCCCTCAATGAACATGCCGATCGGCTTGATCATGGTGTCGCTGGTGAGCGAAACAGTCTTGGGCGGGCTGCCGTCGGTTGGCGCAATGTCGAGATGGGCAGAGAGCGGAAGGTCAGCCACGCCCGAGTCGACGGCAATGGCCTTGACAGTGCACGGGATTGGCTCGCTGCCGATGGGCGCGAGGCTGAGCTCGTCAGAGAAGAGCGTAGTCGAGACTGGGGTGGGCGGCCGGAGGCGTGCCTCGGGCTCGGGCGGAAGAGCACCCATCGAAGACGGGTCTTCATCATCAGAGACGTTGGCTGCGGGTGGCGTGGTAGGGCGGACCATGACAGGCGTGGCGTCACCCGAGTACGAGTAGTGAAACGAGATGTCATCGTTAAGGTCGGCGCCATCAGTGGAGTCGTGTGCTGCGGGTGTGCCCGGCGACGGCGCGGTCGGCAGCGTCCGCGACGGCAAGGCGTGTGTGGTAAAGTCGGCCGCCCCTGCGTTCTCAATGGCGTCGACCCAGGCGTCGCGGGTCAAGATGTTGTCTGCAAAGACAATGTAGGGGGTGGGAAGCGCAGCGTTCTTGAGCACAAACTTAATCTCGCCGATGGCCTCGCCGATGACCTTGACAGCGGTGCTCCCGTCGTTCACGGGAAGGGAGAAGAGAACGGCGGGAAGGCTGGGTGCGCCCGCCAGCGGCTTGGCGTCATACGCGGTGAGCACGCCGTCTACAAGGACTGCCCAGGCGGCGAGCGGCGGCTCTGTCGTGCCGAGCCGCCGGAACGAGAGGTGCGACGCAAGGTCGGTACCTGAAAAGTCAAGCACTTCGTCATTCGGGAGCGGCGACGGGTGCGAGATGGATAGTGACGAGACTGGTGAGGTCAGAGCCGATGGTGAAGGCGGACGCGGTGACGGGGCACGTGGCGGAGGCGTGTGTCGGGCCGGCGATGGCGAACCGTAAACAGGCGCAGCCGCCGCGGCCTGCATCGTGGCCAGCTGGCGCCGAAGCGCAACAATGGTAGCGTCCTGGTCACGGACAGTGGCCTTGAGCTCGGCGTTCTCGGCCAAGATGGAGGCAAGGCTGGTGGCAGACGACGGAGGGGCGCTAGACTCAAGAGGCGGCGGAAGCTGGTTGGCGGCGGTGCGGCGGCGGACCTCGGCTTCGATACGGGCCGTGATAGTCGCCTCCAGTGACGACCGCATCGTGGCCATCAGGCGCGAGACGTGCTGAAGATGAGGCGAGCCGACAGGCGAGGTCGACGACGCCGACCGCTTCTTGCGGCGCTTTTTGCGGGTCGAGCTCGGCGAGCGTGTAGGCGAGCGGCTGACTGGGAGCTGTGGTGTGTCTGCGAGCCGCTCGAGAACAGTCACGCGGTTGCGGCGAACAAAGGTGGCGCAGCCGGGAAGCGCACGAAAGTAGCGGATGTCCGCAACCTTGCCATCGCCCTTGTCCTGTTCTGGCGCGTCGGTCTCGAGCCCGACCCAGACACCGGGCTCAAAGTGCGTGGCACCGACAAAGCGAACAGTGCCAAAGACGTGTCCAGTAGCCAGTTTGGCGACCACCCGGTCACTGATGACAGGCTCACGGGCGCTTGCCACGTACTTTGTCGTCGACGTGGGAGTAGCGGGCGTGTCTGTTGAGTTGACAACCAATGGCGTGGCAGGAGTAGCCGGTGCAATCGATGATCCAGGTGAAGGGCGGCGTTTGTCCAGGCGACGTTTGTCTGAGCGACGCTTGTGCGAGCGACGCTTGTGCGAGCGACGGCGACGAGAGCTGCGACTAGTCTTTGCACGGCGACCAGTCGAGCGGCGTGACCGTGACGACGGGCGAGGGAGCGGTCGCTGCTTGCGGCTGCGGGATGGCTTGCTGGTCGCGACAGACTGCTTTGAAGGCGATGCGCGGGATGGCGTGGGCGAGTGTGGCGAGTGTGACGAGCGTGATGGCTTGGACGCGCGCGATGAGCGCGATGGCTTGTGGCGGACGGTAGCTTGCGAGGGGCGGCGCTTGGCAAGGTACTCACGCTGTTTGTGAGCTCGAATGGCGGGCTCTGCGAGCTTGCTACCACGTGGAGGCGTATGGACAGGGGCTTGAGCATTGTCTGACGTCGACGACAGCGTTGTCCATCCGTCTGACATGGACATGGACATGCTGGTGCCGTTGGCCCTCTCCCCGCTGGCGTCGAGTGCTCTGTCGGTTGGCGTGTTGCTTCTTGTTCAACGATTGGCGAGAGCGATGATGGCGAGAGCGATGACGGCGGGGATCGATGATGGCGGCTATGAAGGAGGCGGCGAGTATGGGGGGGGTAGTGGGGTGGGGATGGGGGCGATGGTGGTGCTGTTGTACTCTTGCTCGGTTGGCGGCTGGTGCGGGGCAAGACAGAGCGGATCGGCGCAACGGACGGCTATGATCAGCAGGCCAGAGACTGCTACACATACTACACATAGGTGCACACGTGTACACACGCGAGTGCTTGTCTTTGATGGAAAATGTATGTGCTGCGGCTCACTCGATGGGTCTGATGAGGTGAGGACCCGGCAGCTGGCATCACTCGTCTGCAGCTTCGACATGGCGTCTCGCAAGCGGCGCCGGGATGTGTTTGAGGGCGGAGTGGGCGAGTTTGAGGATGCGGGAGGACAGAAGCGGCGGATGCTGTTCAAGCGGACCGAGAACATCACCAAGCAGTTCTCCAAGCTGTGTGAAAAGGTATGCCTTGGCTGTAGTGGGTGCATGTCCCGCAGCGACCGAGTGCTGGAGTCGGTCAGGATGGATGAGAGCTGGATCCGATGGGCAGTGCGGGTGGCAGCGGCGGAGGAGGACGGTGGCATAGCAAAGGCAGTGAGTTGAGGATGCGAGAGGATGTGACTGACCTAGGGAGATGTCTTTTGATGGATGTAGTTTATCAAGCACCGGGCAGAGGTGGCGATGTTTGTCTCCAAGGAGGAAGTGCTGAGTAACCTGAGGCCGTTAGTGGAGGGCCACCCGCGGTGGGAGTGGTTTCTGGGCGACGAGTCGACGGCGCTCTTCCGTGACGTCGATGAGGTTGTTCGCAAGTTTATCAACGTCCTCACGCCCATGGCAACTGTAGAGGAGAAGGCGTTGAAGGATGGCTCGGCTCGCCGGGCGTCGGATCACCCGCGCTCGCCCATTGCGATGCTCACCGCGTGGCGCAAGAACGTGGGATCGGCCAAGCAGCGCAAGGCCGCGCGCGCCCGCGAGCGCCGCTTCCTGGCCAAGATCCGCAAGATCCGCGCCGAGGCCGAAGAGGCCGGCGACGACGCCGATGAAGCCGAGGCTGCCTTCCGCGCCGCCATCGAGGCGGGGCCGTCTGCCGATGCCAGTGGCGCCGGCAAGGGTGATGCCAAGTCCAAGGAGAAGAAGGACAAGAAGAAGGACAAGAAGAAGAAGAAGAAGAAGAAGAAGCAGAAGAAGAAGAGCAAGAAGAAGAGTAAGAGCAAGAGCAAGAGCAAGAGCAAGAGCAAGGCCAAGGCCAAGGCCAAGGACAGCGGCTCAGCATCAGAGTAAAAAGCAGCAGAGTGGCTTTGGTCAGAGCATGACGGTTGGCAAGCAGATGCGGGTGATGGCAAGAGTCAACTCGAGCCCCGACTCGGTGAGCATAGGACTACCTGCGGCGGTATAGATTGGGCCCAGCGCCGCCGCCACATCAGCGTGGTCGGCAAGCGACGCAGGCGTCGAGAATGAGACAAGTGCAAGCGCCGGGGGAGGCAGACGACGGCGACGGCGGCCGCGACTGCGCCGCGACGAGCCTGTACCGGCGCTAACCGAGTCCCCGCTGGCAGCAAACACAAAAAGATCGAGATCGCAAAGACCAAGGCAGTTGCCGAGCCGATGCGCCGAGCGTGGGTCGGAGCCGAGTGCGAGTGAGCCGAGCGGCGCGAGGACAACTGGGTAGCCGAGGACCAAGCCGGAGAAGAGCGGCAAGAGCGCCGGCGAGGGGAGCGAAGAGGCGACACGGGCCAGCAAGGGAGTGGAAGAGGTGGCGGTAAGAACGTCGGCGGCGACGGCTAGGACGGCGTCGAGCGCTGCGAGCCTCTCCGGGTCGTCAACAGCAAGCACAGTTGGCTCGTCGAGCTCCGGCGAGACATCGACAACAACCACAGGGTGGTCAGCAGGCCGGCAGCGCCACAGCTCATCCGCCATTGCAGCCATCTTGTCGCCATCAATGACATACGTCAGACAGTAGCCTGCGTCAGGCTCGGGATCGCTATCAGCAGCTGGCGCGGTGACGGTCAGAACAACGATGCGGATGTCGGCGTCGGCAAGCAGGGTGCAGAGCTCATTTGGGTCACGAATGCCGGTATCCTGTAACAAGCCGCAGCGATGCGGGAGGACTGGGATGGCAAGCGAGTGGCGAAGATTCTCGATGATGTTCTCCGCCGCGTTTGATGAGGTGGTGGTGGCCATGGCGACAAGTGATGTGTGATGGCAATGGCCGTCGTCTCTGGAATCGAGCACCCGCAAGACACACGGACCCGTGGCACCACCGGCACCCCCGTCATGACCATCATTGCCATCATCGCTACGCGTACAGTCACCATCGCCCCCTCGCCATCGGCGCACACCCACCCGTTACATGCCGATGGCATCCGCCAGTCGCGCGGTTGGCCAGAACAGCTCAGCCAACGCCCTCGACCACGTTCAGCTGGTGCGACCCGTCCCAGGATCCGAAAGGTCAGCCATAGACACTCCCCTCTCCCAGCAGCATGGCTTCCAAGTCCGAGGTGGACCGGGCGTGCTCAGACCTGAATGTAGGAGCGCTAGAGGTACTAGCAGAGACGCCGGACGGGGCCAAGCTGCTCCGGACAGCCCGACTGACGACTGGCGGAGACGGTGCAGGCGATGCCGGGGGCGAGAATCTGACGGTGGTTCATTTACTGGTGGCTAGTGCGTGTACTCTTCTGCAGAGCGCAGGGGAGAGTGGGGATGTGGTTGGTCGGCTTGCGGCTGCGCTGCAGGTGGTGACGACGGCAGCTGGCGTGAGCATCGACACCGGATCGGAGCCGTCGGCCTGGACTCCGCTGCACTTTGCATGCATGATGGGCGCTGGGGCGGATGTGATCGGTGTGCTGGTGGCGAGCGGAGCCGATGTGTGTGCTCGTGATGCAAAAGGGAATACTCCATTGCATCATGCAGCGGCAGTGGCGCAGGCAAGGACTGTCCATGCCTTGCTGGCGGCGGGAGCCGACGGGCGTGCAGTCAATCGGGCCATGCAGAGTCCGATCGAGTACGCGACGCAGGCCCTGAAGGAGGACGGCGCTTGGGAAGCTGCACATGTTGAAATGCAGCGAATTGGGATTCTGCTGGACCAGGCCATGCATTCGCGCGCGATGGACTCGATCACGTCACTCACTGAGACCGGCCGCCGCACAACGCCGGGCAGCATGGCCGACAGCATGATCGGCGGCAAAAAGCTCGGCGCGGTATCCCGGCCACCAGCGCTGATGGCGGCCGCTGTGCTGATGTTCCAAGCCGCAAGGCACTTTGCCCACGCTACCGTTCATGCTGTTGCGCTCAAGGTCCTTGTGTGGGAGACGATGACGCCGTTCCTCGACCAGACGCTGCGGAGCGCGGCGAGCGTCGGAACGAGCACGCATCCTCGCGACCTCTCGTGGCCGGCAGTGATTTTGCGCGGACTCGGACTTGACGCTAGTGCCGGCCTGGCCGACTCGGGCAGGCTCGCTGACTCGATCGCGGACGGCACTCTTGCGCTAGCGGTTGTGCCGTCAGTGTTCAGCGGTGTCGTCACTTGTGCCGTCTTTCCAGTCATGTCGTTGTTCTCGCCTACGTTTGGCGTTGTCAGTGGGGACCGACGTCCCTTGTACGCCGGCTTGGCAGTGCTGCATCTGGGAGTGGGCGCGCTTTTGCGCCCGCTCCAGTTTGCATTTGCGCATGCTGCGCTGGGCTTGAGCGCGACGCCGGGCTTGCTCGCGATGGAGCGGGTGACGGCGGCGCTGTGTGCGACCCGCGATGTGGCGCTAACACAGCCGTCGCTGCTGTTTGAAGGGCTACTGCCACAAGTGGGCAGCACAGTTGTGCAGCTCTGGACCAGCATCCGGATGCAGGAGAGCAAGACCAGCACGGAGGTTTTGAAGCGCTCGTTAGTGTGGGAGATGTGCAAGGTGGTGGCGGGCAGCGTGGCGTCGAGTGCGTTGATGGCTGTCGCGGGCTACATGTTTGGCGCTGCAGTGGCGGGCACACCTATCTCGTTCCTCACCGCCGTCCGCACTCTCTGGGTCCAGAGTGGAGCGATCGGCTTTCTGCGTCCGATGGTCACCTACTTTCTCCACAACGCAGTGGCGATGGTGGGCGATTATGCCATGGTCACATCGGTGCGGTCAGTGGCCGCACTTGTGGCGGCCGGGCCTCTGTAAGACGCATGGGCAGGCAAGGATTGCTAGTCGAGATGGGACCGGGCTCGCTCGCCGATGAGCGCCTGTTCGGCCTCAAAGAGGGCATCGGGCCGGAGCGCGCACGCCACGACGGCGGCATCAAAGGCCTCACGGGTAAACGGGGTCGGGCGGTGCAGGATGGATGCCATGGCGATGGCATCCGACGGTTCGCACTGGCTGAGCTCGGGGAGGGAAAGGGATGCAATGGCGAGGCTCGACTCGAGGAGCCGAAGCACGCCGTGCTCGATGATACCGTCCCACACGTGCGCGGCGAGCTCGAGTGGAAGAACATGGGTAAAGAGCGTGAGGAACCACTTGGGGACAACCAACAGTGGGTCCAGCTCGGCAGCATGTAGTTTTCCACAGGTGAGGACCACATCGGCATGGCGGAGCGCGCCCGGATCAGCAAGCGCTCGCCCAGGCGAGGCCCATATGGCGGCCAGCAGCGCGGCGTCGTCTTTCATCCGATCCATGGTCTGGGTAAAGTAGCCCTCGAGATGAAAGGTGAGCAGTGCGACAAGAGTCCAAAACAGGATGTCCTCGATCTTGGCACGTGCCTTGGTCGACGATGGGAAGCCTATCTCAGACCATGTCGCCCAGAGAAGCATGGCGGCGATGGAGTTGATGCCCTGGGTGTAGCCGACGTCAAAGCGGAGAACAACCCAGGCACGGAGCATACGAGTCAGAAACTCTCTCGCAGCAGGCGCATCAAGTCCGCGGAAGAGAGGCTCGTCGGGGAGTGATCTTGGGACGTCGAGGTCGACCTGGGCGAGCGCGGTACCGAGCCTGGAGGTGATGATGGCGTTGTCGGCCAAGACCAGGAGCGCCGAGTACACGCCGCGGTTGAGCGTGCGGAGCTTGGCCCCGCCCGACACCTCGGCCCAGCGCATGTAGCGCGGCTGAGGCGCAACGCGGGCCATGGGCCACTATGAGGGGCTAGGGTGAGGTGAGGTGTGGTGAAACGAGTTTGGGGTGAGAGTGAGGGTTTAGCTTTGGGCTACTCACAAACCGATGAACAGCAGCTCATTGGCAACGATCTTGACGGGATTCGGGGCAGCGCGGTCAGAGATGGTGCGGACGGCGTCGAAATGGCCAATCGAGGCCAGCGAGCTGGCCATGCTGGTGGCGCGCGGCGAGAGGATGGCAGCTCGTCCAAAGGCGAGAAGACGACGAAGCGCAATGTCGTCGTGGGTCTCAACGTGGAACGACGACATTGCGAGCTTCATGATCTCGATGGCGTTCTCCTCGGCGAGAGCCACAAGGGTGGGTGTCACGTCGCTACTGGGCCGGAAGAGTGTGGTGACGACCGCGTAGTTGACGAGAATGTCGGCGCCGGCGAGCCGGAGGGGGTCGTGGGCGTCGGCAATGAGCTGCGAGATGAAAGGAGCAATGACCGAGAAGTCGTGAAGAGCAGTGCGGCGCGCCTTGCGCGAGATAGCGAGCGGGACGGCGGCAAGGACGTCGCGGACTAGGACAGCGAGCGCAAGCCGCGCGGACCGGAGGTGGCGGAGGGCCAGTGCGTTGCGGGTAAACGAATAGGTGGAGAGGACCAGCTGGATGAGATCAAAGAGCGGCGAGCTCGGAAGCTGAATGACGACGGTGGCAAAGCCGGCAATTGTGCCGGCGGTGTGGCGCAACATGTCGATGAGGGCAAACCAGATCGACTCGGGCGCGTGTGGGAGGAGGGATGTGAATGCGGTCATGAGCTCAGCAGCCGAGTCGTCGAGGACGAGCCTGGCGGTCGGGTCGGAGCAGTCATGACCGGTGAGGGCGCGGACGATGCGGGTGACGATGTCGACGCCTGGTGCAGCGGCGAGGTCGGCTAGGGCGGGAAGGACGACCTGCGACATACGGGCAATGTCCTCGTTGGTAATCGTCGAGGCGACGACAAGGTCGGTCGGCTCGGCACGTAGATTGACAAGCTGCGAGCGGCGGGTGATGGCGCGAAGACCAGCTTCTTTGAGTGCAAGCATGGTCGCAGTCGCGGCCGTCGCCGGCATCATGCGGTCGATCATGGGGCGGATCATCTCCCCGAGTGGCGTTGCCATGATGTCGCCGGGGAGTGAGGTGATGTACTCGGGCACGGCCGCGGCCGAGCCGAGCAAGAACTCGACAGCGGCGGCGGTAAAGTTGTTGCAGTTGTGATCAAACACATGGTAGTTTTCCGGGTGAACTGGTGGTCGCCGACCTCGTGGACAAACTCGAGGAAGAGCGGCTCCTGGATGGAAGTAAAGCCGAGCTGGTGGACCTTGACAGGGTCGCCATACGGAGTCTGCGACGGATGCATGGCCTGGATCCCGTTGCCGTAAAAGTATTCTTTGTTGTACACCACAATGCCCGTATGCCTGTCCATGTAAAGTACTTGCTGGGTGAGTACGCAGGGCGGTGAAGGAGGGGGGGGAGTGGGGCGGGCTACCGAACATACCAGATGCCTTCCACCAGGAAGCCACACAAGGCTTCCGAGACGCGGGCAGCGAGGCCATTGGAGAGGTCGTAGACATGGAGCGCCACTCGGTGCTGCTGGGTGTCCATGGTGGACCCGAAGGGGATTTGCTCGGAGTGGGGGTGGGTGGGGGCGTGTGGTGTGGCGGGCGAGTGAGAGGTGGAGTGGTCGAGCCTGTCAAGGTTGTTATGAGGAGAACCACGAGAGCTGCAACCGCTCCAGACCGTCGGGGTGGAGGAGCAGCTGCTGGAAGCGAGCGCGGGTGGCGTCGTCGGGCGGGGACGAGACGTCGGCGAGGAGACAGACGGCAAGGATGCGAAGGTCATCGATCTCAAAGGGCTTGGTGAGGAAGAGGTCCATGTCGGCCTCGGCGCAGAGGCGGCGGTTCTCCTCCGAGACGTTTGCGGTAAAGGCGATGACCGGGGTGCGGCGCGAGCCCGCCTCCTTCTCCAGAGCGCGAATAGAGCGGACGGCGGTGTAGCCATCCATGACCGGCATGTTGCAGTCCATAAGCACAAACGAGATGGGGTAGTCGTAGCGAACTGACTGCTCGTAGAGCTCGACAGCCTCCTCGCCGTTGACGGCAGTATCGATGTTGCTGAAACCGCCCTGCTCAAGCATTGATTGAGCAATCATGATGTTGATGAGCGAGTCGTCGGCCACAAGGATGGACTGGAAGAGGCGGTCGGAGAGGACCTTGGACCAGCCGCCGCCGGCGCCACCACCGCCGGTGATTGACGAGTCGAGCGTGTCGACGGTGAGGTCAAGCGAGCCGAGAGTCGAGGCGCCGTCCGAGTCGTCGCTGGTCACAAGACTGGTCGACCTGGACTTGACAGGGCGGTACGAAATGCGACTAGTGGCCGAGCCCATGTACTCGTCCGAGTCCGAGTCGGCGTCCCCGCCCTTGTCGTCAGCGCTGGCCTTGGCTTTGGCCTTGGCGCTGGCCTTCTTGGACGAGCGGCCCGCGGCGGCACCGAGGTCGAAGCGCTCGGTGAGGTTAGCAAAGACGTTTCGGAGGCCGAGAAGAGTAACCGGCTTGCGGATGCGAGCCTTGATGCCGCGCGGGCGCTTGGCGGTGGTGGGCGAGAACGGGTTGACCAGCGCCACGATCGGGATGTGCATATCCTGGGTGAGTCGGCGGATGGTGGGCGCCGACTGCATGACCGACTCGTCGATGAGGGCAAACTTGAACGCCGTGTCGCGGGCCGACTTGCGAAAGGCAGTGTTGATGGCGGCCGCGAGGTCGTCGGGCGAGGTGGCCCAGGTGATGTTGACACTCGGGGCGTCAAAGCAGCGGGCGAGCGAAATGCACATGAGCTCGACTGGGTGGACGATGAGGATGTCGACGTCTCCGGCGGCGTCCATGATCGACGGTGGCCGGACGACAGCGCGCTCGATCTGGATGGGGATGGTGAAGAAGACTGCAGTTCCGATGCCGTACTGCGAGCGGATGCCGAGGTCGCCGGAAAGGGTCTGGGTGAGCTCATAGCAGCGGCCGAGGTCGGTTCGCGGGTCGGAAAGCGACTCGATAGCGGCGGTGAGGTCGGACTCGCGCATGCCGGCGCCGGTGGACGAGATGGAGCAGACAAGGGTGGACCACTCGGCGCCTGGCAGCGACTCGGCGAGCAGCTCGGGTGGGACGTCAAAGTTGTCTTCCAGCGTGACTTCGATGAGGGTCATGGTCGTGTCAGGCTGGTTCGAGAGGTAGGTAACGAGAGCCATGCTCAGATGCTCCAGCACATAGTTGTTGCCGGTGGCGGTGACGTTGCACTCGTCATCGATGAGCGAGATGATGTCGATGCCACGGGCGAGCGAGGCCGAGGCCGAGAAACCGACGACCGACTCGAACAAGTCGGCAATGTTAAACGGGCGCGAGACAACAGACGGGGCAATCTCGTCGGCGATGACGCCGCCCTTGACAAACATGTCCTTGAGGGTGTTGGAGAGGAGCTTGCCCGACTTTTCGATGACAGCCGAGATTCGAGATTGCTCTGCGTCGAGCTTCATGTTCTTGAGCAGCTCAACCGAGGCTACAATACCGTGGAGCGGCGTCTGCAGCTCGTGGGTGAGCGCCGAGAGCACTTCGCGCTCGGACGACTTGACAATCTGCGAGCGCATGGCGTTAAGCACCTCGCGACGCCAGACAGACGCGAGGTTGGTGTGGGCGAGAACGACGGAGAGGACGCACTTGGCCCCAATGTCTGCCACAGCCAGGAGCTTCTCAGAGAGGGGGCCGGAGATGTACCCGGCGTGCTCGAGGGTCCACGAGGTGGGAAAAGCGAGCCAGAACAAGTTGGTGACGATAAGAACAGTCTGGATGGCGCGGACATCGCGCTCCGAGCCTTCGCCGCGGACGGTGACCTTGGAGGTGACCCTGCGGAAGAGGGCATTGTACTCGAGAAGAATGAGGCCAAAGGCCGCGAACGACGTGACCGAGGTGATCCAGAAAAGTGCCGACGCATGCGAGGCGAGCGAGCACATAATGCCAGTGAGGACCATGACCACGTCGATGGCGATCATGCGGATGAGAGTGCGGAGGTCGGCCGAAGCCAGCGAGCACGAGAGCGTCACAATGAGCGGCGTCGAGACAATCCACGAGAGCATACGCCGGACGTTGGTGACAACGCCGGTCTCCGGGTTGAGCCAGAACGACCGATCAAACTCCATGAGCATGGAGACATACGTGGTGAGAGCCACAAAGTTGATCAGCACCAGATACGTGCACGTCCGAGTCTCGTTGTCGGTCTCCGCAAAGACAAGCCGGAGAGTGTCGAAGAACATGGTGACTACCATGGTCGTCGCGCAGGCCTGGGTGACCGAGAACGACTTGTACGGCGCGAGGTATGTAGAAAGGGTCTCAGCATGGTCGCTCCAGTTGAGCGGGACGAGCGTATCCTTGGAGAGGTGGATGAGGGCATCGGTCTGGGTGACCACCACCAACGCCGAGAGCCAGGTGAGAACGAGAAAGACTAGGATGGTCTCTGCGGTACCTGTCGGAGTGCTGAGCGAGAGCCCCCCTGACATAGAAGACCACGTCACCGTTAGGTCCTTGGACGGCACATGCTTGTTAGTTGCGGGCATGGTTGGCTGTCGCAGAGAGAGAGGAGATAGGCAGGTAGGGTGGTAGGGGGCCAAGGTGCGGGTGACTGCAACCACCCGACATCTTTTTGGCAAGCGGTCCAGGGGAACAAAATAGGGTACTCCTGAGGGGGGGGGGGGGGGGGGGAAATATTTTTGTGGGGTCAATTGCCACACCAGCTGGGTAGGGCAGACCGTCGTTCTTGGCAAACGGCCGGCGTTGTCGGCAGTCGTTTCAACTCGATAGCAGACAGCCGCACAGTCGCAACTGCTGACTGCCTTCCGCGCGTTGTTTGGGCGTGTGTGTGGGTTTGTGTGTGACGAGAGAGGCAGCAAGCAAAGTACAAAAGACTAGCTCTACTGGGGTGTGCTACGTGTGCTCTCGCTCAACACTGGTGTGTGCTGTGTGTGTGAGTTTGACGCTGGTGACCGGTTGTCTGGTGCGGCAGACGGTGAGCGAGCTCGTCGAGGTCGAGCAGACAGTCTGCGGAAGCAGTGGCAAATAGCCGTCAAGCATGGGCGAGGCGTTTGCCACAGTGTCGGATGGATCATTGGACACGTCGGTGCTCTCTGGTGCGGATGATGACAACCTCTCTGACATTGGGCTGGGGCGGTCGTCGGCATCGTGGCGGGCGGTGCTTGAGATGACGGTCTTTGATGCCATGTTTGCTATTGTATCTCGGTCGTCGTCGCAGCCGATCTTCTCTATTCTCGTCTTGCTCATCGAGTTTGGGCAGATTGCTGCATTTGCCTTTCACAAGACGTTTGAGTGGGGCCCATGGAGCGGAGACGTGATGACGCCGACGCTCAACGTGGTCTCGCTGCGGCTTGTCTTTTCCTCGTTTGACGTCTTCCGGGTCGTCAACGCGTTGGTGTATGCAGCGCTGTTGCTCGCGTGGGCCGACGCGGTGTATGTGGGCCTCGCGCTTCGCGACTCGTCGCGGGTCCGGATCTGGCCGCTCCGGCTTCTGCGGTATGCGGTGGCGTTTGCAGTTACTGTGCTCTACATTCCGATCATGAGCATTTTGCTGACGCCGCTGGCATGCGACTACGCGGTGGACCCGCCGGTCCTCTACGACTACTCGGATACAAAGTGTGTGACGGGTGAGGTTGTAACGTACGGGGTGATCTCTGGCGTTTTGATGGTCATGTTTCTGTGTGCGACGGCTGCGCTCTCACTGGTGTACTTTCACGACTCGCCCGACTCGGGCCACCTGCTTGCTCGGCCGCATGCGCGAGTCGACTGCGCCACCCATGTGGCCAAGTCGGTACTCCTCCTCGCGTTTGCAATTCTGCCTAACGAGCGGACACTGCTCGGTGTGATTCTCATCGGGTGCACGGCGTCGATATTTGGCCTCCACGTCGTCTTCATGGCGCTGTACAACACGCGGCTGCAAGTTGCGCGGACAGGTGGCTTTCTGGCACTTACGTGGCTGGCATCAATGGCGCTAGGCACGGTGGGTGGGAACGGGGAGGATAGTAACTCGAACGCCATGTTTGTGGCGGCGTTGGCCGGCGTGCCGGTCTTTGCTGTGCTTGGCGCGGCGATCGGCGGCTGGCGGTTGATGTATGTCCGCCGGCGACACGCGCTCAACGCTGTTGTACCACTCTCGCGTGAGGGCAAGAAGCTTCGCAAGTTCCACCTTGTGACCGATGTCGAGCTTGTGGCGCGGGCGCTGATCGAGTCTGCCAACGTCGATGCGGCCAACACGGTCTTTCGCGCGGGTTTTGAGCAGTTTCCCGACTCGGTCTTTCTCCTGCTCTGCTACGTGCGATTTCTGGCGAGCGTGGGAAATACTGCGATGGCACACGCGTACCTGGACCAGTCGCTCGCGTTGCCCGCACGGGTTGATCTCCGGTTCTTGCGATACCGCAAGCTGCGGGAGGTGGAGCAGGCGCAACTTGCACGCGGGCTAACGACCGGCACGATGGATCTCATCTCGTATGTGCAGTTTGAGACAATGCTACGGACAGCGCGGTCGCACCACAACGCAGCCATTCGGTCACTGGCCAACTTTTGGCGGACGCTGCTGAGGTCTGACCGCGCGTTTCTGGAGCGGTCAGCCAAACTCATTGCACGGATCGATGAGTCGGAGCGTTCGGCTAACAACTACTACCGTCAGCTTGTTCGCAAGTACCCGAACACACCTGGTCTACTTGTTTCGTACGCTACGTTCCTTGACCAAGTCTCGAACCGGCCGATCCTCGCCGAGCGGTTCCTCCGCAAGGCGCGGCGTGTAGCTATGGCGACAGCGACCGATGAGGGCGGTGGTGGTGGCGCAGGCGCGGGTGCTGGCGGGACAGGGGGCGTGGGCGGGCCGGACGACACCGGAGCGATGGCGCTTGTCAACGGGGCGATTGACGCGATTGTGACGCTCTCGGAGGGTGGCGGCATTGCATCGGTCAACAGCCACGCGCGCAAGCTCCTCGGGTACGACAACTCCAAGACGGCCAAAGTCGCCCTCCGAGGCGAACCGTTCATGACAACTCTCCTCATGCCACCATTCTCTGACTGGCAGGACGCGCTGCTCGGCTCTGCGTCGTCGCTGACGCGAACCTTTGTGTTTGACATGAAGTGTGCGGACCGGAGCCGGAAGCGTGTGGCGTTGTCGCTGGTACGGACACGTGCACGGGCTGCACAGTACATTGCGGTGATGCGACCGCTGCCCGAGGCCGACACGCGTGTGGCGGTTTATTGCCTTCGTGGCGGTGCCGTGGTGGGTGTCTCGGGCAAGCCAGAGCAGCTGCTGGGGATCCACTCTGACGCGTTGATGGGTACACACATCATGGCGCTGTTCCCGTCATCAGGCCCGGGCGTCCAGGCGGCGTCAGGCTCGGTCGCCAACTGGCTGTCGACGATGTCTGCGACGGCGTCGACGTACGAGGCGCACACCCGGCTTGTGCGCAACGGCAAAGGCGAGCAAGTGCCGGTGGTAGTTACCGGGCTCTTTCTCGGTGGCTCTGGGCATGACTCGATCGGCATGCTTGTGCTCAACACGGTCTCGGCCTTTTCGATGGAAGTGGTCATTTCGCCAGCTGGGCATATTCTCTCAACAACAAGCGGCACAACCGAGGCTCTGTTTGGCGTCTCGGAGCACTCTATTCTTGGGCTGGGGCTTGGCGAGCTGTTTGCGCTTAATGGCGGCGACGGTGACGAGGGTGCGGAAAATGGAGTTGGGCTCGACGGCAGCGAGACCGTGGCGAGCGGTGGTGGGGCCGGTGAAGAGACCAACATGGTGGCGTCGACCATTGTTCACGCCACATTTGGCAGAGCGCTTCGGCTGGTGCAGAACGTGTCCATGGCCGGGCCTCAAGCCACGCCAGCCGATCATCTCTCGCTTTGGTTCAAGAGCCAGGATGAGGCGAGTTTGGTGTACTCGATTGCCAAAGAGCATAGCGATGATGTCGGATCGCACGTTCCGGTGATGCTGGTCCCGCTCCCGCTTCTTGAGGAGGCTGACCGTGGCGAGGCGCTGTGCATGATGCAGACGCACCCGCATGTGACATCGCGCGTCTCGCTCCCGGTCATTGCGGTGGGGTACGTGGAAGAGTCGGGAACCATCCGGTTGCTCATGATTCCGCTCGCGCCACAGGATGGCGATGCCGCGTTGACTCCGTCTTCGTCGCTCACTGGCCAGTCTTCCATCGGCCGAATGCCGAGCGGAACGAGCAAACAGAGCTCGGGCCGGATGAGCTCGGGTCGTCAGACCAGCGGACGGATGCCGCGGGTGGGGCCGTCGATGTCCTCGCTGCGGGCCGGGAACAGGAGCCCTGGTAGCCGCGTTGCGCCGCCGCGCTCAACGTTGGCGCTAGCGTCGCCGTTTGACTCTGTGGGTGCGTCAGCCAGTGGTGCGGAGCTTTCGGATGAGCGGTCGCTGTTTGTGGCGTCGCGCGATGACGAGCCGCCGTCGCCGACGACCCGCTCGGCATTCGACGAGACCTCGGACGTATTATTGGGTGAGCGATCGGGTCGTCGTAAGCGGTCGACGTCGCGGGCGTCGGTGTCGTCGGTGATGACAGGGTGGCCGCGACAGCAGCGGCGACGGTCGATGCTGGCGCCATCGACGCTGGTGAGGGGCGCAGCGCCGGGAGAATTGCGACGGAGTGGGCTGCCACCACGATCGCGATCATCATCGCGGCAGACGGGAGTGCGGCCGAGGACGCCACCACGGTCGCGCAAAGCTTCCAAGAATACGCATCGGCGGAAGCACTCGCGGTCGCGGTCGCGATCACGGTCACAGTCACGGTCACGGTCGCGGACGACTCGACGTGGCTCGGTCACTTTGCAGAGCCTTGAAGCGTTAGTAGACGTGGCGATGGAGGCCGAGAGTGGGCACGGATCTGCCGGCGGCAGCGCACGTGAATCCCGCAGACGAGGTCGCGACGTCGATGAGGTGGCCACCGACGTTGGAGCACTGGCAGATGAGACCAGACTAGTGTCCACGGAGGAGCATGCCATGGTGACGAGCGCGCGAGCTCGGCTTGCGGCGCGGCGCCGAGTTGCGCAGCAGGCCGACTCGGACGTGGCAACGTCGCTGCGGGCGATCCGGTCCAAGACGGAGCACTCGATTTCTCAGCTCGGCAAGCGTGTGGCGGCCTTTGCGATTATTTTGGCTCTACTTTGCCTCTCTGTGTTTGTGGCGTCGTCGATTTTGCTCGACCAGGCGCGCGAGCAGCCGCAGCGAGCGCAGGGAGCGGCGATGCGTGTTGCGGGACTTGCGCGGACAGTTGGCGCGGTCGAGGCGGTTTACTTGCTCGAGCGGGCGGACACGCTGTGGGCCAACGGGTCTGTGCTCGCGGAGCCGGAGCTGCGAGAGCTCAACTCTTTGCTGCTCGGCGGGCAAGAGTCATTTGCATCTGAGGCTAGCGTCCAGACGACGATGGCGCGGCTGGTGGACGAAATTGGGGTCGGACTGGAGGCGATGCTGTACGGGCACGGGATGCTAGCATCTACAGAAGGTCTTCATGATCCGCAGGCCAAGATTGCGAGCTTGCATGAGGGCGCGGCACAAGTCGAACTTTACCACTTTGAAGGGTTCGGCGAGGTGGCTGCGACGTGGCCGTCCAGCATCAACCTGGGTGCCCGAGTCCGTGGCGATCCGTACAATGTACGCGAAGCGCTCCATGTCGTCCGCGACGCGGCCGTGTCGTACGCTAGTTACATCCGCCGCAAGCTGCAGCTTCCGATGGCGACTGTGGGAAGCAACACAAGTGCCACAGCTGAGCCTGCTGCTTGGGCTAGCTCTGTGACAGATCCTGTCGACGACGCGCTGTTTGTGTTGTACAATGGGCGGCAATCGCTGCGGGTGGCACTTGAGGCTGCGGTGGAGGTTGAGCAGGAGGTAGCGAGCCAGACGAACGCGCGGTCGCTGGTGGTACTTTGCGCGCTAACGGGTGCGATGGTGGCAATCCATGTTGCGGCGGTGTTTGTCATTGTGCGGCCGTCGTTGCGAGCGGCGTCGAAGCGACGGTGGGCGACGATTTCCGTGTTTCTGGCAATTCCCAAGACTGCGGTGGCTCGTCTGATGCGCGGCGGCGTGTACGCAAGCACGAGTGCCGGGGAAATGGCACGCAGTGGTGGTGGGACAGCCGGCGTGCCGTTCGACAGCGGCGAGGGCGACATTGACGGCCCGAAGCCACAGCTCTCCCTCCTCAAAGCAATGTCTCTCTCAGATGACTGTCTTGCATCATCGGTTGGAGGCTATCAATTTGCGGACATACCCAAAGTCAAGCCGCGAATGACACCACTAGGCTCACCAAACGTCCAAGTGTACTCAATCCCCAACAAGCACGGACAAGGAGCACCGGTTGGGCGCAAGACGGTCGCGGAGCTGCAAACGAAGGCGCGGTCGCGGTCGCGGTCGCAGTCACTGAACCAACAAGAGCTTAACGACTCGCGGGATGGAGTTGTTGGGCTTTCGCAGACGACGCACCTCGCAGAGGGATCATCACAGGCTACGACGTCGCCAGCCGTCAACATGGTGCCGCCATCAGCGGCGTCAGGCTCATACGACGCAGCCAACACTTCGGTCAGATCGCAATCGTCACTTGCTACAACTAGTGACGCAGAGACGCCGGCGGAGATCGGAGAGTCACGCGGCATGCCCAAGATAGTGAGTGGCCAGCCTTCGGCGTCGTCGTCATCGCCATCGTCGTCATCATCATCGTCGTCGATGGAGTCATCGTGTGTGGCGAGCCCAGATGATTCTGGACCGACGCCAAGTGGCCCAGTCAACAACGCCGCAAGTTCGTCCTCGTGCGACGGACTTGTCCAGCATGACTCGATTGTGATTGTGCGTGCTCCGCGGGTGCGGCTGAAGCGGGCGACATCGTACGGAGAAGATGAGCAGCACGAGGAGGTTGAAGGCAACGAAGGGGCCGATCGACTTGGCAACGACTCGCTCGGCCTCGCCGATGCCGGGGTGAGCATCATTATGAACGAGGCAAGTATGGAGCTGGGTGCGGGCGTGATGGACTCACATGTGTTAAGAGACATGGGAACGCTTGCGCCACGGCGCGTCGGATTTCTCTCAAACCAAGAGCTCAGTACGGTTCGGAGCAAGAGCTCACCAGAAAAGAGCGATGCGTACAACTCGCGGTTGGCGAGTATGCAGTCTGGGTCGGCGACTGAGCTCGCATGGCGAAAGACGGTCGGGCAGCAGCGGGCGCGGACAGCAATGCAGCGGGACGATGTGGAGGTCCGGCAGCGATGGGTGTTGTGGGGCATGATGGGTCTTGTTGTGGTCCTCGCGTTCTCCCTCCTCGCGCTTGTCGAGCTGCAGTACATGGTGAACGTGTCATCAATTGTGGCGGTGGCCGGGTCACGGATGGCGCTCAACGAGGACATTTTCACGTTTGGCCTGGAGATGAACATGATGGAGAGCACCAAGTTGGGCGCATTTACGCGGGCTGTTGTTCCATTTGCAGCAGTGCCGTGGGACGATGTGCTCGCACGGCCGACTGTGGCGACGGTCCGGTTCCGGGCACACGGAAGTGGTACAAGCGCGCGAGAACGACTCGGGCAATCGTTGCAGCGGATGCGCGACGCGCAGCAAACGATCACGCTCCGCAAGCGAAACAACTTTGATGTCCCACCACAAGACAAGCTGGAAAAGAGCGGAGCATGCCTCGTTGTGGACGCGCCGTGTCGAACTCCAGGCGAGCCACTGTTTGAGATGGTGGCCAACGGGCTAGCGCATATGCTGCTGGAGCTGGTACGGGTTGGGCGCGAGCTGGTCCGGGCGAGCGCGTCGCGCCTAGGGCCAGCCGTGGCAGAGCTGGGGGTCATCACCAGCGTGTGTCCACGCGAGGGCCGCAGCGGGACGGCACTTTCTGTCCAGTTATATGCCGACGCAGACGACATTCGAGTTCTGCTCTGGTGGATTCCACTTGTGGCGCTCCTGCTCCAGCTTGTGGTGTTTGGCACGTTCATGTTGGTCGTCCTCGTTCCGATGATCCAGACACTAAGGGCTGGCAACCGACGCACGCTATTTATGCTCGGACTCCTTCCGCACGAAGTCGTCCTGGCAGTACCAGAGGTTGCAGCATTTTTCTCGCTAGATCGAGAGTACGCTTAGTCACCAAAATGGAGAGGCTCGGCAAAACAAACAACTCTAGCGTTGATACGGGATGATGAACTCGTGTGATGTGAATGTGGTGGTTGTGGGAAGAGATGATGACGCATGGGCCCAGGCGGAGGGGAGTAAGCCTCAGCCGGCGGAGGTCGGATTGCAACATGCTGAGATTGTGGATTGGGTACTGTGCAACGGAAAACGCGTGAGCGTGTAGTACGGTTGTAGTGAAATCAGATTGGGCTTAGCTTGCAATGAGGGTGGTAGGGGTCGTATGCGGGGTCGAGCGGTCGAGGACGTGCTCAACCACCTAGGGCAAACAAGTCGACGCGGAAATGAGCCGAGGAAGATGCGTGTCGATGACGACGGTATTGATACTGGTGCTAGTGCATAGCGAGTGAAAACCTTGGGTGAGGTTGTGGGTAGCGTAGCTAGTGGTGGGAAGGAGCTAGGTGGTGGTGAAGGTGGGCTGAACGGGCGAGCGGGCGACGGCTGGCGGCTGGTGGTCGGCGAGGCAGGGGCAGCTGAGGGGGCTGTGTCGAGGCTGGATGGCTCGAGATTGCTGTTGGTCGGAGGATGGGCAGTCTGGCATGTGATGGTTGAGGAGTGTGGGTGTCGGGAACGGGGATAAGGATGGAGATGACGTAGAGCGGGAAGACGAGGAGGAGGAGGAGGAGGAAGAGGAAGCGGGTGCGCGATGGGATGGTGGTGGGCACGGAATGAGGGTGGGGGGCTGGGGGTTGTGGCTGGGATGGAAGTGATGGTGGTGGGGTAGGGGTGAGGGTAGTGGTTGGGAGTGATCGGGCGTAATGAGTATGGGTAGGGGGATGGAGGGGGTCGTGACGTGGGTGACGGGACGGGCGAAGCAGGTGGTGGATA